GGATATACTTAGACTAATTGAGTTCATTGGTAGAACAATTGAATGGGGGGGGGCGGAAGGCATTGAGGGCAATCATGAATGTCAGGGACAATGGAGGAGGAAGATGGGACATGGCAGAGGGTGGGGATGGGGAATCTAGGATGGCAAAACAAAAGGCAAGGTATGCAGGACACAAAAATTGGGAAATCATTTGCTGAGAACATATATGTTGATGTGCTTGATTGAGCCAATGCACAGTGTATTTTGGATGGAAAATTCATATGTGTGTTGTGATGAGAAAAATTTGGAGATTAAATTCCAAACTGTATAATAAGCACAGTGGGTATTTATACTAAAGAGCAATAAAGGAAAGTGGCAAAATTGAACTTTAAGAATGAAGATTATCCAAGACAGTAAAATTGTGGGGAAAAAAGCCCACCATCAAGCAAACAGAAAATCAAACTTGTGATATGATAACCTGTGAGGTAGGTAAGAACCAAACAAGACTGTGAGGGTAAAAATCCCCAAAGAATGTACAAAAGCAGTCAAACTCGGCTATACTTTCCTAGACTGCAAACTGTCTGGAGAGTCAAGAGGAAATGTGAAATATGACTCTAATAGCAGATGAAGCCGAGTGAGGATGAGGGGCAGGCTGTCGGGGTTGGTTAGATACTTCAATATAATGATGTGATTAACTATACATTAGAGTCAGCTGAGGAACTTCTTTACACATATTCCTGGGACTCTCACAGGCTGATTCAGTAAGTCTGGAGTGAACTTAGGAATCCAAACTTTTAACAAACACTGCAGGTGATTCTGCTGTTGCTGGTTCATAAAGTACTGCCTAGCCCAGAGGAATGCCAAGTATGAAATACTTGATGACATATCTTTAAAATAGGTAAAGCCTTAATATTAACAAGAAAAAATTTACTTAAGTATTAGTACTTTTATACAAAAGTATTAAGTTTCTGTTTTTAAAAAACATTCAGTCAGCTTCTAGGGGACCAGCAGTTAGCATATGGCTATGTCGCTGGACTCCTATGTAGTCGACCGCGGTTCGAGTCCCGGACCCGGTGGCTTAAACTCATGCCGGACGCGTGTGCGTGCATGCGTGTCCAAGATCCCGAGAGGAGAATGGAGGAGAAGGGATTGCAGCGTAGCCATCCCCCCTGGGGGGTGATTTATCTCTCTCTGTCTCTCTGTCTCTCTCTGTCTTTCCGGTGAGCACACGTGCCCTATAGCAAAAACCTCTTCAAAAAAATTCAATCAGCTTCTGAGAGAATCACTCATACATTTGCACAGGCCACTATCACTCTTCTATTGATAAAGCTGCTAAGACTAACTAACTGGGGGACCAGAAGTTAGCATAATGGCTATGTCGCTGGACTCCCACGTAGTTGACTGCGGTTCGAGTTCTGGACCCGGTGGCTTAAACTCACTCTCTCTGTCTGTCTGGCGAGCGCACTCGCCCTATAGCAAAAACCTCTCCAAAAAAAGAAAAAAAGACTAACTAACTGGAACAGTGAGAACAAAGTAAAAGTAACACAAGATAAAGCTGGTTACGACCAGAAGCTCTAGAATCAATAAAACTTGGTGATATAAAAATCTCTAGAATCAATAAAACTTGGTGATATAAAGCATTCAATATATCTAGTCTGAGGTTGAAAATTATCTAAAAGCTTGAAATTAGCATACTTACTTTATTGCTTTGGCTATCAGGATGGGGTGGTGAATCAAAGTTTATTATGGCATGCAGAATATCATGGGTTAGATTACTAAGGTGCAATAATGGATTGGCAACTACTGTTTTGGCACTGGCTGTACAAGCGAAGAGAAGAGGCACTGAGGTTTGCTCGGACAAAGGGCTAGGAAATAGTGGTTCTGATGTTTCCTGAAACACAAAGAGGGAAGAAAGGTTAATCAAATGTTCATAGTTATAATCCATTATCTAATTCAGGGGGCTTTTTAAAAACCTCAAAACAATCAAAAACTAAAAGCCTAACAGAAACTTTAAAAGTTGGACAGGACCTGAGACAGTCAGTATTCCAACAATTATATTAAAAAATGGTGGGACAATACCATCTTACAATAAGGAGAAGGCTATTACTTAACTACACATTCATATAAGACTACAGTAAGCAAGTCTGAGGCCTGATACTGAATTATCCTCAAACTGTAATATATTAACTACAAAAATTTATTATTATGAAGGACCAAACAAAAGAGAGCATTTCCTTAAGTAACTGTAATGAAAAAGATGAAGTTTTAACATTCAAAAAAATCCCACAAAACATCAGAAACTGTCCTAGGGCCAGTCTACTAACATGGTAGTTAAAGGAGCTGTATCCCACGTGGCAGACCACAGTTTGAGCACCAACCCTGGTGGCTTGAAAACACAGTGGGAATGTTTGTGTACATGTCCAAAGTCCTATTGGGAAGGAGAATTGGAGGAAAAGGGGTTGTGGTGTGATCATCCCCTCCCGCCTCCTGGAGGTGGGGGAAGGTACATGTTTTCTCTCCCATTCTCCTCCTGCAATGAGCTTGTGCACTCTCTGGCAAGAAAATTACATACTAAAAATCTGTTCTAGATGTACTATTTTGACAGACTATCACATACATTACGTACCTGCTGAGATTCTTGTAAAAGCAAAATCAATTCCATTCTCACAGATGCAAGACCCCCACCATGGGATCCGTGGAGTATGCAATAGCTAAGAAACATCCTCAGGAGTGACTGGTATTTCAAGAGCCACTGTCTTTTTTCCTGAAAACTTTCTCTTAATTGTTTCACTTTTGTTTGGTGAAGTGAATCTTCAACACTCTTATTTAATCCAACTTCATCTCCATTTCTGTCAAATGCACACCGTAGTTCTTCAGCATCTGAGCAAAAGTCACAAGTCTTCTGAAGAGCCACCACCTCTCTCTCAAGCCAGTGGTATAGTTGGTAACGCAATTTTCCACCATCTATTTCATAGCCAGTAGACAAAGTGCGAAGTTCTACTGTGAGAATCTTTAAACATGCTCTAAATTTCAATTGAACTGCAATTATATCTTCTGATGGATTTAGAATGTCACTTTCATCCAGTGTGCTAAATGATTCAGTGTAATTAGAACTTACTTCATCTAATTTTTTATCGATTTTTCTCTGTAAAGGTTTTGGCTCTCTCATTGAAATAGGGAGCTCCTCATCTTCCTCATCATTATCACTGTCCCATTTTAATTCTAAAGAGTCATCCTGAAATACAACGCTAGGTTGGCTCCAGTCAAAAGAAAGAGTAGAGTTTGACTGCTTCTCTGAGGAACTCTCTGAAGAAGATCCAAAACCGTTCATCAGTGACTGCGACCAATCGACAGCAGAAGACTTCTCTTCCCTTGCATCCACTTTTGACGGAGAAGATGGAGAACAGTCTTTACTAGTATCCAGAAAACTAGATGCTCTACAAAAAGGTCTTGTTTTCTTAATGACTTTGGGCATCTTTGATAATACTTCCAAAGCCAACATGGGGCAGCCAGCTTTTAAATGAGCACTGGCAGTACTAAAAAATAATCTTCTTTCACTTAAATTAATTGTTCCTGCTAGTCCACTTTTTCCTGATAAACTCATGTGTGTGGAAAATGTATCTGTTGATCCAAAATGACGTCTCAGCAAAAGAGGATGTGTTCTTAGGTAATTGTAGAAATTAAAAACTGCAGGATTACAGGCTGACATCATGACTTGATCTGAAAGTAAATTAATTTTATGAGCCAATAAAAATTCTTCAAGAGCCAAACTGAGTGTTTATATTTGCACTGTAGTCCCTTTTCTCTACTACAGCATCTTTATCTACCTGGTCTCTTGACAAAACTTTATTAATAGACCAAATTCGAGACACTGAACAGACAATAACACATCTGGAATGAACACATGCTAATATGAACAAAGGTTATGTTGTTTTCCCACAGAAAAGTCTTCAGGTGATATTTTAAGACATATTAAAACTCTTAGTTCTTTTTCTCTTAATTCTCTGGACATTCCCTTTAAATCTCCTCTACCAATTCTCATCTTTTCTACCTCTGCGTGTGGTGCACTCAGGTTTGGTTCTTGATTTCTTTTCTGTCTACACTACCTGATTGAACTCACCCAGTCCCATAGCTTTAAAAATCATCTACGTGCTGATAACTTCTACATTTCTATCTCTAGACTCAATATTATCCTTAAAACCTAAACTCCAATATCCAAAGGCTTACATTACTTCTCCTCTTACAGCTACTGGGTTGTTGGAAAAGTCATGACATATTTTTCTGTTTTTCTATGCAAAATGCACCATGACTTTTCCGATGACACAATATATACTCTTGCCTTAGGGACTTTTTTACTTAGTGTGCCATTTGTCCAGACCTCTTTCCACCCAAACGTCTACACTGATTAACTTGCTCATTTGAACTAGTTCTCTGCTCACAGTCACCTTAACAGAAGAGGTTTCTTGATCTAAAACCACATTTTTCCATATCATTACCTATTGCTCAAGCTACAAACCCAGCAATTATCCTTGACTTCTAATTCCTACAACTCCATTCAAATCCAGTACTGTCTAGTCACCCTTAAACATCATGTGCCAAATCCAATCACTCCTCCTTGCCTCCCCTCCTTTTATCATCAAGTCACTATTATCATTTATAATTTTCTTCTAAAAGAATACGGGTGTCTGGCTGTAAAGTATGCGATCATGAGTTAATCTCAAAATAAAATACATTTTCAGGAGAATATGTGTAGATATAAGAATGTGCCTAGGAGAAACATTCTGTTTTTCCACTTTATTACAGGGACCTTTGAAAATCTTTAGGTCAAATGGCTAAGAGAGTTGAATGATTGAATTACACAGCTTTCTCCTAAGTTAAGAAAGCAAAGTATCTGATACTTCCTGATTAAATGATATCAAGAAAAAGTGATGAACTAGAATATTTTCCAATTTAACTCCAAATGATATGATACCTATTATACCTACTATTAAACAAAGTTCTATCTATAGAAAAACATCTAAAAAACAAACCACATTATTTTTGTATGAATTTATATAAAGAATTCCATTTTATACAAGTCTCTAGGAAAACTTTAGCAAAGAAGATTTCTAAAAGGGGAGGCAGAAGTAGATACTTTTTATTTAGGGAACATTAAAAAAATCTGTACCTCATTTATCTCATGAATAAGACAAGATTTTACTTAAGATTTTTTGTTTTTGTTTTTGTTTTTGTTTTCTTTTTCTTTTTTAAATTTGCTAGAGATGCATGCACTTGCCAGGAAAAGTGAAGAAGCACTGTCTCATGGGGGATGGTCATGCCACAATCCTTTCTGCTCTATTTCCCACTTCTCTCTGGATTCTGGGCATGCATGCACATACAACTGGTGTACTTTTCAAGCCACCAAGTCCAGGACTAGAACCACGCAACTGGCCACATAAGATTCAGCTATCTTAACCACCACACCACTGAAGGACTCAAGATTTTCTAATAACATTACTTAAGTCAACTTTCTTTACCCTGAATATATTTTTCACTATAAGAATTATAAAACTGATTAACAAACACACTAAACTCAATCTAAGATTTAAAAAACTGGCTTTGTATATGTATTTCTTCAAAATATTTATATTCAAATGTTAATAATTATATTCAATAAATCTATTCCATAAAAACAAGAGTGTGTTTGTTTTCAAAACACTAATTTTCTGAAAACAAAAAGCAACAAGTCTGTATATAACCCTGTGTGCCAAACAAAACCATAAAATTCATAAAGACCATGAATCAACTTGTTTTATATTGTTCTTAGCAGTAGTGAACCAAGTCATCTGCACACCAGCAACTACTAATGACCTGAAAATCAGCAACATTTTAGAGTGCTTCTTACCATCATTCTCTCTGACAGGGTGCTTTATTAATGTTTCAAGAGCACCACTATAATCTTCCAAAATCCAACAGGCCATACTCCGAAGGAAAGGATCAGAATGAGTATTTATGTTCAATGAATTGAGTTCCTTGACAGGAGAATCAATTCCCAAAACTTTTTTACGTAAAATAGATTTATAAGTTGCAGATGTATCAAATTCAGACTCATAGAGTCTTGCTATTACAAGAGCCAACTGAATGTCATTCAATTTCTCAAGACATACCTTAAAAAAAAAAAAGAAATATTGTTTATAAACAAGTTCGGGCAGCTTTAAGTTAAGGATAAATTCAACTAACTCATTAAAAAGTAGAAAAACGTAAGGTTTTAATATTCAACATTAGCGGGACCAGCAGTTAGCGTAATGGCTATGTCGCTGGACTCCCCACGTTCAAGTCCTGGACCTGGTGGCTTAAACTCACGCCGGGCGCGTGTGCGTGCGTGCCCAAGATCCCAAGAGGAGAATGGAGGAGAAGGGACTGCGGCATGCCATCCCCCCGGGGGGTGATTTCTCACTTTCTGTCTCTCTGTCTCTCTCTGTCTGTGTGGCGAGCACACGCCCCTATAGCAAAAACCTCTCCAAAAAAAAAAGAAAAATTCAACATTAGCAAACAAGAATAATAAGAAACATATACTGCTTGCTTTAGTCAATCAACTTAAGGACATTTATGTTAGTTCTTGCAAGTCTATCTGCTAGCACTAAATATATATTTGCAAACAAAATTAACCTAATGAAGTATCAAGTAATTCTTTTTTGGGGGGAGAGGTTTTTGCTATAGGGTACATGCACTTGTCAGAGAGAGGTAAAGAGACAGAAAGTGAGAAACCACCCCCCAGGGGGTATGGCCATGCCGCAATCCCTTCTCCTCCATTCTCCTCTTAGGATCTTGGGCATGTACGCACACATGCCCGACTTGAGTTTAAGCCACCAGGTCAGGGACTTGAACCACAGTCGACTACATGGGAGTCCAGCAACATAGCCATTATACCAACTGCTGGTCCCATCAGGTAATTCTAAATAACATCAGTTCAAGGTAATATTTTATTTGCTTTTGAACCTCTACACCTCTCCTGCCACCGCAACAAACTTTAGTGTTTCCACATTACAAAGCTGTTCTGAATTGAAGCTTTGAGCAAAAGGGCATTTTGAAATAGAAATGTTATGATATCTTAATTGGCCATAATTTTTTTTAAGGTTTAATGAGAAATAATCAGTTAAGAATATTCAAAGGTTCTGGGACCAGCAGTTGGCGTAATGGCTATGTTGCTGGACTCCCAAGTAGTTGACTGAGGTTTGATTCCTGGACCCGGTGGTTTAAACTCACACCAGGTGTATGTGCTTGCGTGCTTAAGATCCTGAGAGGAAAATGGAGAAGGGACTGTGGTGTGGTCATTCCCTTGGGGGTGATTTCATGCTTTCTGTCTCTCTGTGTCTTTCTGGCAAGTACACGCACCCTATAGCAAAAACCTCTCCAAAAAAAGAAAATTCAAAGATTGATAAACTAAGACAGAGCCAGGTATGGATTCACATGTGCTTGCTTGTTTGTTTTTTAGGTTCTTGCCATAAGGCATGTGCACTTGCCAGAGAAAGAGAGAGGGAAAGTGAGAAATCACTTCCAGGGGGGATGGCCATGCTACAATCCCTTCTCCTTCATCCTCCTTTCAGAATTTCAGACACACATGCACCTGGCGTATTCTCTCAAGCAGCTCGGTCTGGACTCAAACTACACAGCTGGGTAAGTGTTCAGACTTACAGGGAAAACCTTTTAATTTTTTTAACTTATTTATGAATATTCTTAAGAGTGAGATCTTCACCTATTTCTGCCAACCAAACCAACCAACACTACCTGGTTCAATCTAAATGACACAGAAGTTACTACTAAATATTATCGGTTACTTTAGACATTTACTTTAGGTAGTCAGATAAAGTTGAAATTATTTATATATTTACATACATATAAACATATGTTATTTAAATATTTATATGTATATAAATATACTAAGAGCTTTAATATATAAATATATAAAGAGCTTAAAAGGGTGACAATGCTGTTTAGTTTTATTCATTACCTCAACTGCATCTCTGAGGCAACCAGCTAAAAGAAAAAATGCTGCAGAATGTTCAAATCTTTGTTTTCCAAGCAGGGAAAAAGCATTCTTTAAAGCTGCTTTACGCCATCTCTCATCCTCAAAATTGTGTCCAAAAAACTGTGTCATCTTGGTGTCCTTTTGTGATCTATAAAGAAAGAAAAGTATCAATTTTGGAATTTAATGTTTCTATATCTGAATCAGTCTTTTAAAGTTTGGATTTAAAATTAAAACTCAAGAGAAGGCCAATGACAGTGGCACAGGTAACAGGGAACCCCTGAGTGATGCTGGAGAGCTATATGGGAGGCCCTGCGTTTGGATTCTGAATCCACTTGAATGCGTTAGCTGTACCCACAGGTGCACCTATAATCCTAGATGGCTGGAAGCCTCTGGGGGCAGGAGGAGGGACTGTGCATGGTGAGATCCAGGCCAGGGTATTTGTCTCTCTCATGAAAGAAAGAAATGAACTTTTTAAAAAAGATTCAATAGAAATATCTGCCCATTTGTAAATTATTATGCATCTATATCTTTTCCCAGAAAAAAAATGAGTATTAAGTAACATTTATTTTTTTCAAGTTTCAGAGTGCATTAAAAATTTTACTTTCAATTACAAAAAATGGAACATTCTAAAAGATTAATTTCAGTTATTTATTTTTCTTTCTTAAATTTATTTTTACTTTACACTTAATCACTATATAACTTTACAGTGTACATTGCTTTTTCCAGGAAGAATACAGTGCATATCAGTCAAGACAAAGATTACCATATACATTATCATCACCAAATAACTTTTCATTTTTGAAGTCAATTAAATGTATTTTTTTTCTCGTTCCCCTCCCTCCATTACCCACTCCCACATTACCCCTATCTCCAGTATCTACAGTTGCCCTCTCTACTGCTATACCTCCCGAACTCTCAGTTTACTTTCAGCTTCTGCTGCCGAAGGCAATCGGTATATATTGATTGGGGCCATACAAAGTCTGTCTTTCATACTCTAGTTTCTTCGCTTAGCATTGAGTCTTCCACATTTGCCCACTTTGTACCAAATGCCAGGGTCTCACATGTTTATGGCTGTATTCCATAGAGTACATGTCACATTTTTTTCAATCCACTCGTCTATTTTTTGACATCTGCGTTGATTGCATGTCCCAGCAATTGTAAATAAACATGGATATGTGTGTTTCTGACTGAGACTTTTTCTATCCTTTGGGTAAATACCTAGAGTGGAATTACTGAGTTGTGTGGTAGTTCTACTTGTAGCTTTCTGAGGAATCTCCCTATCATTTTCCACAGTGGTTGTACTGATTTGCATTCCTACAACAGTGTAGGAAGAGTGTCCTTGTCACTACAGCCTTGCCAGCACTTATTTTTAAAATTTTAGCCATTCTGACTGGGATTAAGTGGTATTTCATTGTGATTCTGATTTCCATTTTCCTTATGATAAGAGATGTTGAGCGTGTTTTCTTACGCTTTTTGGGTATTCTTCTTTGTGTCTTCTTTGGAGAGTTGTCCAGCTCACTGTTCTGCCTTTTGTGGGTAAGCTGTTTGAGTTCCCTGTATATCCTGGTTATCAGTTCCTTATCTAAGGTAGTTTGCAAATACATTCTTCCACCCTGAGAGTTGTCGTCTCACTCTGTTACTTTGGCTGGGCAGAAACTTTGATTCCGTCATGGTTGGAAAAGATGCTGGATATAGTTTTTATACATTTGAATTTATAAAAGCTTGTTTTGTGCGCTATGTGGGCGTGAGAAAAAATGTATATATTTTGTGGTAGTTGGGTGAAATACTCTGTAGATGTCTGTCAAGTCCACTTCATGTTTGGTATCATTTAAATATTGTATCACGTTGTTTCTTTTTGTCTAGATGATCTGTCCAGAAGAGATAGTGGGGTGCTGGGATCTCCTATAATTACTGTGTTGCAGCCCATCTCTCCCTTGAGATTTAACAGTCTCTCTTTGAGATATTTAGGTGCTGCAGTGTTGGGTACATCAATATTTACTACTTCTCTGTTACATCTTTGTGAACATGTCCTTTTAATACTACATTATGTTCATTCTTTTTCTCTTCTTACATCTTTTATCTTAAAGTCTATTTTCTCTGGTATCAGTATCTCAACTCTAGCCTTTTTTTGGTTTCCATTTGCATGGAATATCTTTTTCCAGCTCCTCATGTTCAGTCTATGTATGTCCTTGCCAGTGAGGTGTTTTTCTTGTAAGCAGCATATAGAAGGCTTCTGTTTTTGTATCCATTCATCTAGTCTGTGTCTTTTAATGGGAGAATTTAATCCATTAATATTCAACATTATTATTATTGGTGGACTTATCCCTGTCATTTTGTTAGTAATGCCTCAGTTGTTTTTCATTCTTTTATTTCTATTTGTGTCTCTTTAATTATCCTGATATAATATTCCCCTCAGTACTTAATGTAGAGCTGGTCTAGTATTGGTAAATTCTTTCAGTTTTTGTTTATCTGAGAATATTTTCATTTGTCCTTCCCATTTGAAAGATAATCTGAGAATACTTTTATTTGTCCTTCTCATTTGAAGGATATTCTCGGTTGAAATTGTTTTTCTTTTAATGTTTTGAATATATCTTCCCATTCTTTCCATGACTGTATTGTTTCAGTTGAGAGGTCTAATGTCAACCTAACGGGATAAACTTTATAAGTAACTTGACCTTTTTTTTCAGAGTGTTTTTGCTATAGGTTGCATGCACTCGCCAGACAGACAGAGACAGAAAGACAGAAAGTGAGAAATCCCCCCCAGGGTGGATGGCTACAGTGTAATCCCATCTTCTCCATTCTCCTCTAGGGATTTTGGGCAAGCACATACACACACCCAGCTTGAGTTTTAAGCCACTGGGTCTAAGATTCAAACTGTAGTCAACTACGTGGAAGTCCAGTGGTCCCACTAACTTGACGTTTCTCCCTTAACACTATTATAATATTGTCTTTTTGATTTTTACCAATCTGGCTACGATGTGCTGGGGGCGGGGGAGAATCTTCTTGTGTTGATTCTATTTGGGATCTTTTATTTCCTGGGTCTGAATTTCTCCATGTTTCTCTGTATTTGGACATTTTTCAGATACTATTTCATCAAAAAAGTTTTCCATGCCTTTAGCAGATTCTTCCCCTTCTGGAATACCTATTACATGGCTATTTAGCTGTTTCAAAAATGAGAATTTAGAATTTCCCATCTGCTGTCATTGTTTTTTCATCCTTTCTCTGGTGGTTTAGTCTACGTTGGACACTTTGCCTTCAAGGCCAGAAATTCTTTCTTCTGGGGACCAACAGTTGGCATAATGGCTATGTCACTGGATTCCCATGTAGTCGACCATGGTTCGAGTCCCAGACCCGGTGGCTTAAACTCATGCTGGGCGCGTGTGCATGCCTGCCCAAGATCCCGAGAGGAGAATGGAGGAAAAGGGATTACAGCGTGGCCATCCCCTCTGGGGGGTGATTTCTCCCTTTCTGTGTCTCTGTTTCTCTCTGTCTTTCTGGCAAGCACACACATCCTATAGCAAACAAACAAACAAACAAAACTCAAAAAAATACATAAATAAACACTTCAAAAAAAAAAAAAAAAAAAAGGAAATTCTTTCTTCTTCATGGTCTGACATGCTGTTAATGCTTTCTAGGGAATTATAATTTCTTGTATTGTATTCTTCATTTCTAGAAGTTCTTTTTGATTCTTTTTCTAGGGTGTCTATTTCTTTATGAAATTCCTCTTTCATGTCCTGAAATGATTTTCTCGATTTCTAAAACCGATTGTCTGTTTTCTCTTGCATCTCACTGAGTTTTGTCACTATAAATATTTGGAATTATTTTTCTGGCATTTTTGTGTATTCTTCTGTCTGTCCACTGTTAGTAAGGGGCTACTGCTCTCACTTGTAGGAGAGTTTTCCCTTTATTTTCTTATGTTTCTTTGATATCTGTGCTGGTTTTTGGTCATCTGATGCATTATTCATGCTTATTTTTTAAAGTTTACTTATTTATTCGATGACACAGAGAAAGGCAGCACCAACAGGATCTTGACACCTATAGCTTTAGCCAGCCTGTGATCATAGGGCACACGTGTGAGGTTTCCACATGTGAACTTGCAAACTTTTCATGTGGGTCAGCCTCACAGTGTGATGTGTTTTTACTGTTTATCACCATTTGACCCAAAAAAATTACTTTTAAATCCATGCAAAATATGTAACTTATATTACACCATGTTACTTTACTATTTAAATCTCCTCGTAACCTCCTCAATAACTCTCCCTACCCATCTGACATTCACTTTGATGATCAGTATCTAAGGAATTTGTCCTGACTCACACAATCCTGAAAGACGTAGTCTGAGAAAAGTGATTAGGTACTACATTTTTCCTCCACAGGTTGCTGTTCACAAGGTTCACCTGAACTCAATCTAAATCAAATCAGAACTATTTTATGGTAATCATGTTTACCAAGTCTTGCTTAGAAAAGTGAGAGAAAAAAATTCTAACTAAATTTTAGCTCAGGGATGAGGTCAGGGCTTACAGGAGAGAAGTTGTGTTGACAGACAGCCTGGTCCATGAACTATCAATAGGGCAAAGGGCAGATCCCTGTTCAAGAATCTGCCCCATGCATCTTCTTCTTCATCCCAGAAAATTCCTGGTTTAGTTACTTTTGTTCTACAGGAATGGTTTGAGAAGTTCTTAAAAGTGTTTAACTGTTAAATCTGCAAACAAACTTGACATGACAAAATTGGATTTCTTCTACTCAGAAATACCCAGACTTTTTCCCTATGAAATTTCTTCTTACAAGGAAAAATAGACAAGAATCTATGTGAATCAACAATGGTTATGAACAAAAAGCTTACTTTACATGTTCACTCCTTATCAGGAGTTTTCTACTTTGAAGTACAATTTTCTTACCTACCTATATAATCCCCAAATCACAGCCTTCTTTTTCATTGCAAGGTAAAAAATGGCAGCATCTAAAGGATCATTCTTTCTATAAAAGGCAGCTTTAGCAACCTAAAATTAAAAAATATTGGTCAAAATTTTAGGGAAACAGTTTCTAAGTAAACAATTACCTTGATATATGAGACTGGCATACATTATTAAAATACTGAATAAATTCTTAAAATGTATATATGGGACCAGCAGGTTGTATGGTAGTTAAGGCACTAGATTTCTACATGGCCAATCAAGTCCTGGACCTGACAGCTTGCTTTCTCATTTTCACTCTCTCTGTCTCTGTCTGTTGTATGCATATGCCCTTTAGCAAATTAAAAATAAAAATAAATAAGTAACTCTAGAATTGTTTTAAAGTGTATCTATGAACATGTGTGCATACAAAATAATAACAAATGGGGAACCAGCAGTTAGCGTAATGGCTATGTCACTGGACTCCCACGTAGTCAACCACGGTTTGCGTCCCAGACCCGGTGGCTTAAAACTCACACCGGGTGCATGTACGTGCGTGCCCAAGATCCCGACAGAATGGAGGAGAAAGGACTGCAGCGTGACCATCCCCCCCGGGGGGTGATTTCTCGCTTTCTGGCTCTCTCTCTGTCTGTCTGGCGAGCGCACACGCCCTATAGCGAAAACCTCTCCAAAAATAATAATAAGAATAATAATAACAAATGTACTTTACGTGGTTGCCTCAAAGGAAACAGAGAGGAAGTAACAGAACTACTACATTTTATTCCAGTCTCATCTCTATTATGGGTCATTGGAAAAGTCATAACGCATTTTTCCATAGAAAAACATAGAAAATTACATCATGACTTTTCCAGTGATTTAGTATTTTATTTTTCTAAACATATACATATATCCTTTTGTAAAAATTGACACACATGACTAAGTAAATATATTGATTAGAAAATTAAGACTCAGAATATAAATTTTTAAAAATTATATTAACATATTTTGAAATATAAAGAGTACTGTAAAGCATTTTGCTGCTTCAAGACAAAAGGAAGTGACAGCCAAGAACATATAAAATATGTGAAGAAACATTCAAAATATATTTATTCATTTGTACACCAAAATAAAAATACTTACTTTTTCCACACATTTACGTAAAATACGGGTATTCCGGACCCACCAGCCCACACCCATAGCTCGTAGTTCAGACCAAGTGGGATCATCTTTTTGCATTGCTGGCAACATGTTTAGCAGTTCTTCTTCTGCTACTGAGTGAAATGCCCAAGCAAAATGACTAGTAGACAGGCCTGAGAAAAATGTCAAAACATAATGTTTATGAAAAATATAAACATAATTCTACTGGGTAATTGGAAAAGTCATAATGCAGTTTTGTACAGAAAAGCACAGAAAAAGTATGTCACAACTTTCCTGATGACCCAATACGTCAGGAGAACTATATGTTCCATAGTTGCAATAAAAATGTGTAAACTTTTGTGAGATTCACAGAGATACATATCATTGATTAAGACTGAGAAAAGTCTGAATTATCTCAATGAGTATATATTTTTGTATTAAATTTTTTGAAAAGGCAAGGAAAATAATTATAGCAAATGCCACTGTGCTGTAATATTTTTGCTCTCTGATTACTGTCCAAAATCCTTTTCTGAAAATGACAAACACTTAAAAGCATTCATCTATATTGGTATGTTTCTCTGTTCAAATCTACTTTTCACCTTCCTTTGTTCAACATTTGTTTTGTGGCTTAGTTCATGGAATTAAAAAAAAAAAAGAAATCAAGTAAACAAAACAGCTTGAACTAAGCACAACACTACATACAGAGCCTTTGGAATCAAACTGCATGCATTAAATTTCAGCTCTGCTGTTAAAATACATAAATTTGGGCAAGTTAGTCTGTTAATGTTTTAATTTGTTTATAAAATGTGAATAAACATGGCATTATCTTATTACATAGGTCTGAGAATTAAGTGAAATAATATGAAGAATTTAAAATAGAACCTGATGTACTAATTATTATTACCTCATATCCCCATATTAGTTATGATACTTCATACTCATGTAGCATCATTGATGTCTGCAGTTCTCTCATCTACTAGCCTGCACATGCGGTGTTTGCCACTCAGCATGTATTTTCTTTTTTCACAAGATATTCTATTTAGTATTACTGAAGTAAATAACTACAAGATGTGGCTCTGACATATATTGTATCAGATTTTTAACTAAAGAAATCTGAGATGATTGCTATACTAAAGATTTTGGAAATAAAGAAATAGAAAAAAATGTTTGAATAGACTATTATTCTAAATTATTTTTATATTCCTATTGTCTTTCAACCAACCAAACTTAATAAATTTCCAGAACTAATTAAATAATTTAGATGTCAGTAAGATGGGAGAATATGTGGTTTTAGGCTTCATTCCCTGCTATGGTTTTCATGTTTGTGACCCACCAAAATACACATTGAAACATAATCTCCAGGGAACCAGCAGTTGGCATAATGGCTATGTCACTGGACTTCCACGTAGTCGACCGCGGTTCGTGTCCCGGACCCGGTGGCTTAAAACTCACGCCGGACGCGTGTGTGTGCGTGTCCAAGATCCCGGGAGGAGACTGGAGGAAAAGGGATTGCAGCGTGACCATCCCCCCTGGGGGGTGATTTCTCGCTTTCTGTCTCTATGTCTCTGTCTGTCTGGCGAGCACATGCGCCCTGTAGCGAAAATCTCTCAAAAAAAAAAAGAAAAAAAAAGAAAAGAAACTTAATCTCCAATGCAGTAGTTGTAACATGCATGGGTTTTATGAGGTGACTAGGGCATGAGGAAATTTTTTTTTGGATTGGAGAGGTTTTTGCTATAGGGCGCGTGCGCTCACCAGAAAGACAGAGAGACAGAAAGCGAGAAATCACTCCCCAGGGAGGATGGCCACGCTACAATCCCTTCTCCTCCATTCTCCTCTCAGGATCTTGGGCATGCACGCACACACACCCGACGTGAGTTTAAGCGACCAGGTCCAGGACTTGAACCGTGGTCGGCTTCATGGAAGTCCAGCGACATAGCCATTATGCTAACTGCTGGTCCCATGAAGAAACTTTTCTAATGAATGGGATTAGTGCCCTGATAAAGTGCTCAGGGAACAAGTGGTCCTCTCACCCCTATGAAATGCAAGGACACAGCAACAATACACCATCTACTGAGCAGAAGGCCAGCCATGATCAGATATCAATTCTGCTGGTGCCTTGCCCTTGGACTTCCCAGTCTCTAGAACTGTGAGAAATAAATTTCTATTATTTATAAATTATCCAGCATAAAGTATTTTGTTCTAGTAGTTCAAACAGACTAAGCCCTTCCCCTCATAGGAGGTTTGACTAACTATTCACCACAGATAAGAGCACTTTGGTGAAAACCTCAAGCTTGGGAAGACACCGCTCCCATGGACAACAGAACTGTATCAAGGCCATACTGGAAGAGTAGAGGGGACCAGCCAGTGGAGCGGAGGTTAAAGTGGCTGGATCTCAAATGGCTAATTGGACAGTTTGAGTCCTGGACCTGGAGGCTTTAGAAATATGCTGAGCATGTGTACATGCATGCCCAAAATCCTGCAAGGGAGAGAGAGATGAAGAAGGAATTGTGGCATGACCATTTCTATAAGGGTGTTTTCTTGCTTTTCCTCCTCCACAAGCAAGTACACATGCCCTCTAACAAATAATAATAAAAAAAATAAAAAAAAAAAAGGTGAGAGGGAGGATCTCATTTTGACCACATGTACCCTCAGTATATAGTGGTGTGAAGAGGACTGACCTACTTCCAAGGTTTCTACAGTAGAAAAGCAGAGGATTCACCTAAATCCAAGGTTTATACTGTAGAAAAATAAAAGGTTAGCCCAGATTCAAGGTTTCTATAGAAGAAAAATAGAGGATCTACCCAGATCCAAGGTTTGTATAGTAGAAAAACAGACCTGGAGGCAGACATCCAGCTTCCTTAACATTCTATGTGTTTCCCAGGAAGCACATACCCATGTCACAGGAAAACCATGGGCACTGGCATGGCTAGAGCACCCAGAGTCAAGAAGTAACAAAGAGAGGAGGAGGAGCTCACAACAACCAGCACGCGGATCTTGTTGGTAGCTCTGTGTTCCTCCCAGAAAAGGCAATTCTAGAGAGACCACCCAATGGCAATGCCCATGGGTAAGCTGAGCTGGTTGCTTCTAGAAGCTAGGTGGAAAGGTCAACATGGCTTGAGTCCCTAGATGGCCAGCCTCCACACCCAGTTTCAGAGCCTCATCATGGCCTTATCCAGACCGGGAGACATGAGTCTCACACATTTTGGCAAAGCCCAGGAACTAGACATGCCCAACCTGGGAGTCCAAACAGCAATTTGGCTCAGCCTCACACCCTCACATATGCCACCCCAAGGCTCTACCCAGGCAAGGAGAAAACTTATCACCATGCACTGCAGCAGACCTTAGGGTCTAGATGTGCCTAACTCAGGACTACAACAGGCAGACTGATCCACTTGGACCACTTCAAGGACCCTTCACACACTCACAACAGTGTATGCCTGTGGAGAATAGAGGTTGAACATGCCCAAACCTGGAGTCCAAAGAGTGAGTCAGCCAAGCCTCAGAGCTCACTTCAGGGCTTCACCCAGTCAGGGGAACACTCACCACAGTACATTTCATCAGTGCAGGGGCAAGATTTGCCTGACCTGCGAGGCCAAACACAGGTTCAGCATAACCATAGAGCCCATTCCAAGGCTTCATGCAGACAGAAAGCTATACATTGCTACAGAGAATGGCCTACAGACCTGTGACTTCAACTAACCGTGGAGCTAGTCTATAGTCCTCCTACTCCCCCCATCTCAATTTAAGAACCCAAATAGCTTTTTTGGATGTTCTAACAGGGGAACGCAGCTACCCTTGACCGAAGAACAATCCTCCTCTATCGGGATGGGCATCCTTTTCAACTTGAGCACGCAGCTTCAGGAGGGACACAGATGGTGTGTGGAGGGAGGAAGGGGACACCCACTTAGCCAGAATCAACCCCAGTGATTAGCAAATCAACCTGGTGATCAACCAGATCAGCCAAAATCAACCTTGGTGATCAACGGGGTGACAGATGTTGCAGCCATATCATTCTCACATTCAACAGGGTGGAAAAAATATTTTTGAACCATATATTTAATAAAGGGATAGTCTCCAAAGGTTAAAAAAAAAAATCCAAATAGCAGTAGCACTCGGCCAAGAAATAGACCCTGTGTGGGTTCAATCAGAGGTTATCACAGTGCCCAGATAGCAGCTCTGATTTCAAAGCCTCGCCAGTGGTCTCACTAGGGACAACGGGCTAGCAAATGGCCTCATCAGCAGACCCACCTCACCTCAGTAAAAGGCAGCCAACCAGAGATCCTAAAAGCAAGCTCTAACTACCTGGGGTTGTTTCCAGTTGGCCCACCCAGAATCACAGGCTAAATAATGAAGACCTAGCTCTGCAAAAAAATACCTGTAAACCCTGGAAAAGGTGGTTATCTCCGCAAACATGCATTTGAGCATTCATACACCAATGTAATAATTAAGAAGAATAAGGGAATCATTACACCTCCAAAAGAAAAGAATAAAAGTCCAATAGGCCTTAAAGAAATGAAGATCTATGAGGTAAGCAAAAAATAATTCAGAATAATCCACTCAAAGAAGTCCAGTAAACTACAAGTATAAATAAATGAATGAAATTTGGAAAACAATATATGAACAATAAGTATGACAGAGAATATAAGTCATAAAAATTAAACCGAAATCCAAGAGATGAAGAATGCAACTACTAAATTGAAAAATTCAGGATTCAATACATTCAATCATGCAGAAGAAAAAAAAAACAGTGCACTTAAAGACAGAACACTTGAAATTATCTAGCCAAAGTAGCGAAAAGAAAAAACAATCAAAAAGAAGGAAAAAAGCTTATGGAAATTTCAGGGTATCATCAAAAGACCTAATTTTCATATAATAGAGGTTTCGGAGAAAAAGATACAAAAAGGGTCAGAAAGTATATTTAAAGAATAATTAAACTTCTCAAATTTGGGTAAAGATGCCAACATCTAGATATAGGAAGTACAGGAATCTCCAATAAAATTCAACCCAAAAATGTGTCCACCAAGACACATAAAAATAAAACTCTCAGCACTCAAGACAAAGAAAAAATTCTGAGAGCAGCAAGAGATAAGAATCACATCACATACAAGGGAATACCAATGTACTATCTGTCAATTTCTCTGGAGAAATCCTGTAGATCAAGAAGAGTGGGATAATATATTCGACATGCTGGGGGTGTTGGGGAGAAAGCCAACTAAAAAGGTCAACTAAGAATACTTAACATGGCAAAACTGTCCTTCAGAAATGAGTGGCCAGTCCCGCAGCCCACAAATTAAGGGAGTTGGAGAATCCCATTTGGTCAACTATGGTTTAAATCCTGGCTAAGTGGCTTTAAAAAACATGCTACGTGCATGACCCAAATCCCAACAGGATGAAGACTGGGGAAGGGCTTGTGGTATGACTACCCCACTACACTCCATCAGGGTTCTTTCTCCCATTTACTCTCTCTCTCTGGCAAGCACGCATGCCCTCTGGCAAGTAACAAACAAAAAGAAGTAAGGGGAAAATGAGGCCAGATGGTAGTGAATGGTAATGCAATTAGAGCTACACGAGAAGGTCTGTAGTTTGTGTTCGTGGAGTCCCTGAAATGTTGGGCATGTGTGCCTGTGATCCAGGTTGGCTGAGATTGAGGGTAGATTGCTATGAAGACCCTGTTGGGAATGTCTTACATACTTTCTTTTCTCTCCCCCCTTCTTACCTTCTCTCTTTCTCTTATGGAAGAATAAACTTAACAATAATAAAAAAGAAATGAAAACTTTCCCAGATGGACAAAAGCTAAAGGTTCTTCATCATTAGGTCTCCTTTTCAGGAATTCCTAACAAAAGTTCTTTAAGCTGAAATAATAAGATGCTAATTGATAACATAAAATGCACAAAAGCACAACACTCAATAGAGGGTAATACAGAGTGAAGTATGGTGGTAGGCTGGGAAGTAGAAGGGAGTGGGGGAGTTGTTGATTAAATGGTACAAAGTTTCATGAGAAATATGTTTTTGAGGTCTACTGTACAGCACAGTGACTATAAATAATAATAGTGTTACTACATATAGTAAGCATTTGAGATGATGGATATGTTAATTAGCTTAATGTAATTACTTCACTACATATATATACACACACAAAAATAAAAAAAACATCTGGGGGCCAGCAGGTGGTGTGATGGTTAAGGACGCTGGACTCCCACATGGCCAGCCATGATTCAAGTCCCGGACCTGGTGGCTTCCTTTCTCACTTTCCTCCCCGCCCTCTCTCATACTCTGTCTCTCTCTGGTCAAATTAAACTAAATAAATAAATACAGTTAAATTTTAAAAATAATGAGTTAAATAAGAAAAGAAATAACATCTCCTGTATCCCAAAAACATATAAAATTATGATTTGTCCAATTATAATAAACTATTTTTAAAGAATTATTTTATTTAACATCATTTATTTATTTTTAGTTTGACTAGAGGGGAACAGAGAGAGAGAAAAAAAAAAAGTGAGAAAGCAAGACACCAGGTCCAAGACTTGAACCACGGTTGGCCATGTGGGAGTCCAGTACCCTTAACCACCATGCCACCTGCCAGCCCCATAATAAACTTTTTAAAAATTAATTTTATATAGAATTTATTATTATTTAGCTGAAATGTCAAATAGGAAAAAGAAGACATTCTAAAGAAATTAAAGAAAGTGAACTAATACTAATTTGGCTTTAACCTAGCATACATTTAAAAATGCATCAGACTGTCCATTGCCCAACATCCATTTCTTCAATATTTTTCACTTACTACTAAAAATTCCCATGTTTTAAGCAAAGAAGGTTAAAAATAACTAAATATCCTTTAAAAAAGACAATTAGAATGTGTCACGTTTCTCATCATTATCATGTCTGGACAAAAACAGATTTCAATGTATACAAGCCTCTCTCTCTACTCGTCTTACTTCCCTTTAATTGATTACTAATCAAAATCACCTTGGTGAAGAAGTTGAACTCGATAAGCTGGAAGGGAAGTTGTTAGAAAAGTATGGAGTCGAACAGCCAAGAGAAACTTTAATCCACATTCGTCAAGAGTTTCTCCACCTACAATGGGGGGTGGGGAGAAAAGTATACATTTATCTTTATTTGCAAAAAAATCACTTTATAAGCAAAACACAAGTAGTACTAATAATTATAACATTCAGTATATGTAATGTGTAGTAATACCTCTTAAAGTGTTAAAACTCTCAACCAGTTTATTTTTTATTAAATTTAACATTTTTAAAATCCTTATCTTAATATCATCTTAAATTTACCTCACATTTCACCTTTAGGGCTTAGTTGGGTTTTGTTTGTTTGTTTGTTTTAAAGAGATTTTTGCTATGGGCACATGTGCTTGCTGGAGACGGAGACAGAGAGACAGAAAGTGAGAAATCACCCCCAGGGGGGGATGGCCATGCCACAATCCCTTCTCCATTTCGCTTCTCAGGATTTTGGGCATGCAAAACACACACAGTGAGTTTTAAGCTGCCAGATCCAGGACTCAAACCATGGTCAACTACATGGGAGTCCAGTGATGTAATCACTATGCGATCTGTGGTCCCATTTTATTTTTTTTGGGGGGGGAGAGGTTTTTGCTATTGGGCACGTGCCCTCGACAGAAAGACAGAGAGAGACAGAGAGACAGAAAGCGAGAAATCACCCCACAGTGGGGAATGGCCATGCCACAATCCCTTCTTCATTCTCCTCTCGGGGTCTTGCACACACACGCACATGCACCTGGTATGAGTTTAAGCCACTAGGTCTGGGACTTGAACCGCGGTAGACTACATGAGAGTCTGGCAACATAGCCATTATGCCAACTGCTGGTCCCTAAAGGCTTAGTTATAAGGCTGCATCTTACTGACCTAGATCTATATCTGATCCACAGGTTGGACTTCTTACTTTCAGATCTTATTTGAGGTTAGATAGAAATTCTCCATTCAAATCTATTTCTAACTCAGGAGATTTTTCTTCACACACACAGACTGTGTGAAGACCTAATTTTATTATACTTATCTCTCTTTATTTTAGGGAGGAGTACACATTAATGCTAATTAAAAAAAAACTCAGGATATTAAAAACTAAATTATAAACATAAGGGGAAAAAACAGAAGCCACCTTTTATTTCAGGTATTTTATATCACTGTTTAAAGAATCTGTAATTTTACCAAACTCAGACATGCTCAGAGAGGGGCTAGCTCCATGGCTCAACCTTAACACGCTGCTCAGAAGCTGGGATCCCGTCTGAGGACCACAGTTTGAATTTCGACCTAGTCACCCTGAAACACACCAAGCACATACAAGTGGCTCAGGATTTGACTGGCTAGACAACTGGAGGAAGGAGATGAGGACACACCCCTGGGGGAGCTGCTCCTTTCTCTCACTTTTGTGCCTGCACTCTAGCACGAATAACAGAAAAAAAAAAAAAAACACTTTTTAATATGTTCAGTTAGGGGGCCAGCAGATGGCGTGGAGGTTAAGGCAGCTGGATCCCACATGGCTGACAGCATGGTTCAAGTCGCAGAACTGAAGGCTTGAAAAGCATGTCAGGTGTGTGTGCATATGTGCCCCTAAATCCCAAGAGGTGAATGGAGGACAAGGAATTATGGCATGGCCATGCCCACTAGGGGATGATTTCTCACATCTTTTCTCTCTCTGTCTCTCTCATGCAAATATACACACCTTACAGGAAACTAAAAAAATATTCAGTTAGTTTTTTTAGACTAGTAAGCAGATTATCGGTAAAAATGACAGGTAGGATGAGTCTCTGTGCACATCCTCACAATTCTGTGATTCACAGGATAAAGAACATTGAAGTTAAAACTGAAATTGGGCTGGCCTCATGGAGCAGTGGAAGGAGTCAGATCCCACATCACCCACTGAAGCCTGAATCCTGGTCCGGGTAGCTTGAAAATCACGTTGGTGCATGTGTATGCATCCCTAGGACGCTGAAGGGAAGGAAGAATGAAGCAAAGAGGATTGCAGCATGACCAGACCCCACCAAGGAGCTTGCTCACTCTCTCTGAGCATATGCACACACCCAGGCATTAAAAAAACAAACAAACAAACAAAATCTGCTGTGAAGGAGACAATGATGTTTCAAGAAAACAAAATTTTAAAAACTCCTGGCGTTATTTTATTTTTTAAATTTGCCAGAGAATACATTTGCTCACTGGAGAGAGGGAGAGAGGGAGAGAGGGAAGAGAGCGAGAGAGCAAGAGAGAGAGCGAGAGAGCAAGAGAGAGAGCACAAACATGCTGTAATGTGGCATGGTCACACCACAATTCCTTCTCCTGTTTCTCAGTCCTGTTGGCATCATGGGCACACACACACATGTGCCTGGTGTGTTTTCGACCATGTGGTTGGTCACATGGGATATGGTTTCCTCTACCACTAGACCATGGAGCCACCCCTCAGGGCATCATTTTTATAAAAACTTATATAATATTATTTTCTGTGAGAATAAGTAAAAATGTTACCAGTTTTTCCTCCAATCCTCTATGGAATTTAGTTTTACCTTGGCTTCTGTCTCTGCTTTCTCCAATATCTGTGCTTGTGGTTGCAACCGTATCTGCCAAAGCCATCAGAGACATCTGTTCCATCCGGCTGAGTCCGGGCAAACTAGTATGAAGTAAGTGGCCGGAAAGAACCTGAGCATGCTCAGGACCAAAGTAAGTTGGACTGTACTGCGAAAGGTCAATGACTTTGGGCTTTATATTTTCTTCATCTGTCTCTAACACATGAATATCAGTCATCGGAGCTGAGCTCTGAAAAAGCTCATCATAACTTTCTTTTGATAACTGGTCTGATTTATTTAAAGTACTCTCATTACTCGATTTTTCCAAAGATGAGTAACAGCTATCATCATCTGCCGCAAGTAAGGCATACAAAGGCAGTGGTGGGACAGAGTCTATTTCTGTGTAGTCTGTGTTTTCCGCCTTGGTGAACGCCTGGGGGTCTCTGGTTGTACTCCCACTGGCACTGATGGTGAGAGACCTAAGGCGGCGTTCATGATTGGATTCGGCTTCATTCAGAGCTACAACTTCCCCGGCAATGCACTTGACAAGATGCGATAGGATAGCCTTTGCTCTCCGAACTTTGCCAAGATCCATGAGTTCCAAAAGTTGCAAAGGATGATACTGAGGTAAAGTTGGAGAAAGTACATGTGCCGCTTCAAAAAGACCAGAATCTTCCACATCCACAGAAGGATCAAGTGCGGTTTTCTTTCCACAGATTTTCTGCGCAAGACTGGTCATGGATCGAGTCAGAGTTTTCTTTGGAGGATGTAACCCAGAACTTGATGAGTTACTCTGTTTTATTAAACTTGTTATAGATGGGGTGCTCCCGTTGTACGAATCCGTTATGACAGCTTCTTGTTTAGAAGACGGCTGCCACTGGGAATACACGTGCATCTCGCAGTCCATTCCTACCACGAGGATGCCATCCCGGACCCACGATAAAGAAACGGGGTACGGTGGGGAGCCTTCTACAGAAGAAACCAAGTCTACGCTTCGTAACAGTACAAATTTAGAAAGGGGCACAACTTTAGTACCCTCCCAGAGAGGAAATACCAGGCTTTCCTTACCAGTCTGTTCTTGTACCTTCCCAGCCAAAGGTCCATACATAAAAAGTTTTGATCCAATTCCCACCGTCAGGATATGAGAACCATCCTCTCTAGACATCCAATCTAAGTGAACTAAATGCTTGGTGTTAGAGGTGATACTCTCCCTATTGGGTAAGTATGCCTCTTGCTGATTATAGGCCACTAAATTGCTGTCGATACTAATGCCAGAATCTAATACTGCACTTAACTCATCTAAATGAATTGTCTGTTCAAGGACCCAACATGAACCTCCTGTAGACTCACATTCAAAAATACTCACATGCATCACAAAGTCTTGAGAAAATCTCCTGTTAGATGCAGGCTGCTTATAAGCTACTGCTAAACGATTTGTGTGTGCACAGCTCACTTCTACAGGCCTACCAGGTACAGTGACACTACTATTGCTCTGAAGTCCATCTTCAATAAGTAACGGCCATTCTTCCCAAACGTATGTGAGACGCATGTCTCCACTCTTTGGTGTGGCAGATTCTTCTTCTGTTACTCTGCACCGCCAGAATCTGACTTTCTCATCTGAGCATGAAGTTGCCAATAAGTAAGGAGCACTGCAGACAGGATAAATGGAAGAAGAACTCAGGTGTCCTAAAACGAAAGTAATCCATTAATAAAATGTCAGATTTAGTTAAATAGTTCTGTTTTCATGTAGCAGTCCTTTTGAACACACTGTTAAGAACATGACAGTCTATATTTAGTTTGATAGTCAAGATCAGTAAGAGGCTTTTAATGACATCAAAAAGGTATATGACAAGAAACTAGCGGGTCAGCTGGTGCATAGTGGTGCTGGATTCCACACAGCTGACTGTGTAGTTTGAGTCCTGGACCCAGTGGCTTGAAAAACATGCCAGGCATGTGTGCGTACATATTAAAATTTCCAAAGGAGATTGGAAATTCTCTCTCTCTCTCTCTCTCTCTCTCCAGTGAGCATGCACACCATCTGGAAAATTAAAAATAATTAATTCAAATTTTTAAAAATTTAAAAATAAAAAGAAACTAGCACCAAAGCCTAAAGCTAAAAAGGGCACTCAGAGACAATTCACGGAATTACTTCATTTTACACATAAAGATCCTTGACTGAACATGCTAAGTATCTTATGTCTAAATCAAATAACTAGACTAGTGCAGAATTAAAAACCCAAATAATCCTGATTCTCAATGCAGCATTCATATCACAACTCTGTTTTACACTTTATTTTAAGTATTACTTTAAAGGCATCAATACAGTTTTAAAAATCTGTCCACATTTGCTGATTCTTAAATGGCCCGACAGTAACAGGTATTAGGCTTTACCAACCACAGGGTGTCTGTTGCCCCTACCTGAATGTGCCATTGTGGGGCAAAGCGACTCTGCACAAGAGCACAGGACCAGGTGTCACTGTGCTCTAATCGAAACAGTGCTTGACCTACAATTTGCTGCCCTCTGTTCTGAATTGTTACGCATAAGCTACTAATTATAGTATAGAATATTATACAAGATATTTATCATATTTTAAAAGTACATTTCACCATAATTATACTAAGTTATTTGTTAAAGCCCTCAAAAGGGCCAGGTGGTGGTCCAATGGGAGTCCAACTGGACCCACGTTAGAAAGGTCCTCAGTCTGCAGTGAAAACCTCATTCAGTATGCCAGACGTGCACATGCACATGCATGATCCAGGCCAGCTGAGCATGCAGGTGGAGCGCAGTGTGAATAACTTAACAGTACTGACTGTCTCTGCCTCTCACTCATGAAATAAATACATACATAAATACATAAACAAATTTTTAAAGGCCTTCAAAGATTATAGCAGTATTACAAAAGGGTACAATTGGCATTATCTATCAGTCTCTGAGCTAAAAACAAGAAAGAGATAGTATCCTTTCCAATAGCATTGATTAAAACAAAATGAAACAAAACTGTAAGACTGGAATCACCTATTAGGACTGTTAAATCAGACCAAGACTAAAACTGGCTGACAAATGTCAGTAATCTAAAAACTTCATAAAAAAATTAAGTCTTCAGATTAGGGTATTTAAGTCTATTATCTGCCTTTCTGCTTTGGTGTAGATTTAAGAAACTGTTGCAAGTCCAGCACCATAGTATAGCAGTTAGGCGCTGTCCAGGGAAGCTGGATCCCACATGGCTGACCAGGGTTTGAGTCTCGACCACAGCTGTTTACATGCCAGGCATGTAGGAGCATGCACAGAATCCTGACAGGTGGGGAACTGAAGAAAGAAGGATCACAGCATGACCAGGCTCTGTTGGGGGGGTGCTTGTTTGCTCTCTCGCATATTCCGGCATTAAAAAGAGAAGAAGGAACTATGCGCGATAGATCATTTATCAACTTTTTTTTTAACGTAGTCACAGCATCAGTTTTTTTTTTTTTTTTTTTTTTAAGAGAGAATTTTGCTGCAGGGCATGTGTGCTTGCCAGAGACACAGAGAGAGAAACTGAGAAACTACCCCCCAAGAGGGATGGCCATGCTGCAATCCCTTCTCCACAATTCTCCTCTCGGGATTTTGGGCTCGCACACACATGCGCCCAATCAGAGTTTCAAGCCACCAGGTCTGGGACTCAAAACGCGGTCGACCATGTGGGAATATAGCACCTTAACCACTGCGCCACCTGCTGGCCCCAACAGTATTTGTTTTTAAGTATCTGGCATACACTAGTAGGTTACAAACTTAGTCTCATTTCCCCACATTTACAAACCTGCTGAAGGCTTAATACTTATTATTTCAACTCCATCTGGCAAATCCAACTCTTGGCTATAAACCATTTCTGAGAGGAGAGTCAACTTGCTAGTACTCTGGAGATTTGCTCTGCAAGCCTGATACTTTTGTGAAAAGGGGGATAGGATCTTGTCTGGAGAAGAAGAATAATGTTCTTCTGTCTGCCCAACTGCATCAGATATTTTTGTATCTAGTTTTTCATCTACAAAACATAAGAAAAGAACCAAAAACTTGAAAGGGAAATCCATAAAATTAGGATAGCTACATTTTACAATCTAAAACTGTTATAAAAGATAAAATTAAAGTGTAAGATTCTTTATAGTAAGAAAATGAGAAAATCACTTTGTCTTTTGAATTAACTGAATAAATTACAATTATTGCCACTAAGAATGGCTTTAAGAAATATGTCCTGAACTGTTTAATCATGCATAATTTGTTCATTTAAGCCTTCTTAAAGTAAGAGGGAAAAAAAGACTTACCCAATGAGACAGGAATTGACTTTAAGTGTAAATTCCACATGTGTAACAGTGATCGGTTGTCTTGAGTACATTCTACTACAATTAGGTAGAACTTTTCAGAGAATCCATTAGGTAAGCTCCCTGTTGATATTAATATTTTTCACTATTAATAAGGATAGATGAAACAACGTACTAAATATGTGAAGTTAAAATAACTGAATTTTTAAAAATAATTTAAAAACTTCACCTAAGACTCCCAATACAAAGTGGCATTATAGAATGTATTCAACCTCTTTACGTCAAATTTGCATTAATTTAAAATTTAACATTGCATATGCTATACTTAAATTTCACTTTTTCATTAATAGGCTTAAGTCATCACTAGCATATTGTTACAAAATTAGACCATATTAAGTGGAAAATTTCTACACTGATAGTAACTATGTAATATAGAATTATGGTGAACATACCGTGAAGAAAAACTGTGTTGCCAAATATTTTTCAAAGTCTGTAAGATCCATAACAATGACCTATTCATGATGTTTAATGACCAACATATAAATATTCATTATAAACCTATCATTCAAGAACATTTTTCTTGGCCCAAATAGCATAGTTTAAACAGCACTCAATTGCTCAGAACAGCAAATAGATTCCTCTTTCTGAAACAAATCTTAAGAGAGTGGATGTGGTAACCAACACCTGTAATCCTCCCTACCAGGAAGGCTGAGCCAGGAGAGCTGCGCAGTCAAGGCCAGCCTGGGCAACACAGCAGACCCTGTCTTGTAAATGAACTATCTACAGAAACAAAAAAAATAAAAGCATAAAATCAGAAATCGGTCACTGCCTCAAAAAAATAAAGTTTTTTAAAATGAGAGATTTCAATTCATCTTTTCTTCTCTCTAAGCTATTCTTCATATATAAAATTATGCAAACAAATTAATTATAAAACCGATCAAATCACGAAACATACCAAAAAATCAGAAAGCAATTATTATTCGGACACAAACATTTTACCCTTTTAAATTTGTATTAAGAAAAAAGTTCATTAAAAACAATTAAAAGGACCAGCAGTTAGCGTAATGGCTATGTCGCTGGACTCCCCCGTAGTCGACAGCAGTTCGAGTCCCGGACCCGGTGGCTTCAACTCATGCCGGGTGCATGTGTGTGAATGCCCAAGATCCCGAGAGGAGAAAGGAGGAGAAGGGATTGCGGTGTGGCCATCCCCTGGGGGGTGATTTCTCACTTCCTGTCTCTATGTCTCTCTCTATCTTTCCAGTGAGCACACGTGTCCTATAGCAAAAAAAATCTCTCAAAAAAAAAAAAAATTAAAAGAAAAATTTGAAAAAAAAAAAAAAGAAAAGGACCAGTAGATAGTGTCATGGTTATGTCATTGGATTCCCATGTAGTCTACAGCAGTTCAAGTCCTGGACCCAGCAGCTTGAAACTCATGCCACGTATGTGTGTGTGTGTGCGTGCCCAAAATCCTGAGAGGAGACTGGAAGAGAAGAGACTAAGGTGTGGCCATCAGCCCTGGGAGGTGATTTCGTGCTTTCTGTCTCTCTCTGTCTCTTCGGCAAGTGCACATGCCCTATAGCAAAAATCTCTCTCAAAAAAAAAAAGTTATAAGGAAAACTAACAAAAAAATACACACATATATATACACACACACTATACACACACACATATATACACACTATACATATACACATATGTATACATATATACACACATATATACACATATATATACACACTATACATATACACATATGTATACATATACACACACACATATATATATACACACACAATACACACACACACACACACACACACACACACAAATTGATAAATAACTTTGAGCTAGGAGACTAAATAAAGGCCTGCCAGGTGGTGTGGTAGTTAAGGCAACTGGACCCCACCTGGCAGACCACATGGCATGATGGTTCGAGTCCTGTACACATTAGCTTGAGAAACATGCTAGTCATGTGTGCATGCGTGCCCAAAATCCCAAGAGGAGAATGGAGGAGAGGGGACTGCAGCATGGCCATCCTCTCAGGAGGTGGCCTATCACTTTCCCTCTCTCTCTCTCTTTCTGTGTGTCTCTCCAGCAAGCACATGTGCTCCATAGCAGAAAATTTTAAAGAGAGACTAATGAAAAGGTAATTTTGCTAATGTACTCTGAATGAATTAGGTACTCAAATGATAAAAATGAAGAAAGAAAGGACAAGGGACTACAACAAAAGAAAAAAGAAGCAATCCCACAGAAGTGCAAGCAATAGGGTGCTGCCACACGGTGCTGGGTCTAGTAATGCAGGGAGGCCTGGGTTTGGAGCCCAGGTGGACCTGACCATGCCAGACACAGCTGCATGTGCCTGCCGTCCGAGCTGGCTGGAAACATGGCAAGATCCTGTCTGCCAAGGGACCCTTTCACTTTGTCTCTGTATCTCTTATAAAAGAAATATTTTATGAAAAGGAACAGAAATCAATCCTATTTATGAAATTTTCACTACCAAGAAAGAATGCCTCAATAATGAAAATATCTGTAAAACTCTTTCCTTCCTGACGATAATGCTTCATCTTCTATGAAAACCGAAAATATCGATATAATATAAATCCTTGGATATTTTCTTAGAAATGCTAATAATGGGGACCAGCAGTTAGTGTAATGGCTATGTTGCTGGACTCCCACGTAGTTGACTCCAATTCGAGTCCCGGACCCAGTGGCTTAAACTCATGCCGGGCATGTGTGCGTGCGTGTCCAAGATCCTGAGAGGAGAATGGAGAAGAAGGGATTGTGGCATGGCCATCCCCCCCGGGGGGTGTGTTCTCACTTTCTGTCTCTGTCTTTCTGGCGAGCACACGTGCCCTATAGCAAGAACCTCTCCAGAAAAAGAAAAAAATAAATAAATGCTAATAATGAAAATAGTATTTGAGTAAAAGTAAGAATTCCTTGAATATTTAAGACGAGGAAAAAAAAAGAGTGAAAGGGAAAAAATTATACATTGAGAAATTTTAATATAAAAAGATTAAGAATATTTTTGTTTCCATAAATAATCCTTTATACTATTAATAACATCTTTATTCCCCATGTTTAGCATATTTTCATCATGTTCAGAGTTACGAAAGCACATGAATAAAATGCATTTGCACCGTTCATGAATTCTCAGGAAAAATGATAAAAGACTGAGTGAAAGCAAAGGTAAGAAATCAGATATCCAACAAAAAAAGTGCAGAATTTAGGACCAGCTGGTAGTGTGGTGATTGAGACAACTGCATTCCACATGGCCAACTGTCAGTTCGAGTCCTGGACCCAGTGGCTTGAAAAATAACCGGGTGCACGTGCGTGCATGGTCCAAACCCTGAAACAAAAATGGAGACGGGACTGTAGTGCAGCCATCTCCACGAAGAGCGCTTTTTTACTTTCTCTCTCTCTCCATCTCTCATGAGTACACACATCCTCTAGCAAGTTGTAGAACTCTAAGGCATACTTCTCAAAGGGGGGAAAATGAAAACGTGGAAGAATGTATAATATGAGAGAAGGAAAAAAATCTAGAAAAATAGAGAGCGTAAATTATTACCAGAGGCTTTAAAACTGACTTTAAGTAACCAGCACATATCATTCAATATGTGGTTGCTTTATAATGTTTTGTTCTTCAAGAAAGTCATTTTTGAGTTTGGCTTGGTCTGTGACTGAGTCTAATAACCAAGAGATTTTAGGTCTATTTTCTTCAGTAATTCCTTCATGCAAAGTAACAATGTTAGGTGGAACAGCTTAGTAATAAAACTTTGAACCATTTTATTATTAAAATGTTAGTTAACACACTTAGCCTTTAAGTTAAGGATTTTATCATTTGAAGTTTTAACCCATTTTTTCTTCCCAAATTACAGATTTCTAAAAGGTCAGGTGTCCACTATTATCCAAATTGATACGGCAGGACTCCATCCATGTAACGAATACTCACAGATTAATGATAAATGTGTAACTGAGAAACTCCTTTAACTTTTTTCATGTTTATTTCCTGGTTAAAGAAAAAAGATATTGGGCCAGCAGGTGGCATGGTCGTTAAGATGCTGGTTTGAGTCCTGGACCGGGTGGCTTGAAAATCATGCTGGGTGCATGTGCATGTGCACCCAAAATCCTGACAGGAGAATGAAGACCTTGTAGCAGAGCCTTACTCTGAGGGGATATTTTCTCACCTTCTCTGTCTCTCTCTGTCTCTCTCCAGCAAGCACATGTGCCCTATTGCAAAAACCTAAAAAAAAAGTAAAAAGAAACTAGTATTAATGACAAATATCACAAATCTATTTAAAAGATTAACTTCAAACAGACGATATGGAACAGTCTATCAGTTCAGCTTTATTAACACAGTCTTCCTAATATTCTCATTACATAAATAATTCTTCTTTACCTGCATCAGATAAAATGCTGTCTTTTCCCAGACTTTTCTTCTCAAGGTTATTCAAAATGAAGTCTTCTTGGAAAACATGAAGCAGCTGGGTTTTTCTGCCGTGCTGAATATAAATAAACACCAGCATAAGTTGATATACGTGTTTTTTTAACTAATGGTAATTGACGGAAAAATGACACTTACCAGTTTGGTAATGGGATCTAAGGCAATAATGCATCCTGGCCTGGCTGTTGACTGCTGACTGACGATGTTAAATACTTCACCAACATATTTCTGTTTTTTAAAAATATTAATATATCCTTTAATAAATAATACAATTCAAAAGTAACCAAAAGTAAGTAACATAAAATTTCAAGTCTAACAGGTAAATAATAACATCGAAGAGAGACTAAATGTAGTCCCTTTCAATTATAAACATTCTAGGACCTTACTTGATAGAAATTATGTAAGAATGCATATGCAGGGACCAGCAGTTAGTGTAATGGCTATGTCGCTGGACTCCCACGTAGTCGACCATGGTTCGCGTCCCGGACCCAGTGGCTTAAACCGCTGGGCCCATGTGCGTGTGTGTCCAAGATCCTGAGAGGAGAATGGAGGAGAAAGGATTGCGGCGTGGCCATTTCCCCTGGGGGGGGGTGATTTCTCACTTTCTGTCTCTCTGTCTCTGTCTGTCTGGCGAGCGCACGCACCCTATAACAAAAACCTCTCCAAAAATAAAAATAACAATTAAAAAAAAAGAATGCCTATGCATTACAGCTCACTTGATAACAGAGAAAACAAAAGCAATATTTGGTAACTGTTAGGAGAAAAAATATTTTATATCCATAAATGCAAAAGACTGACCTCAATTTCCTAGTTAATATTCTAAAAATCAGTGCTTTTAAGCATTAATTTTGAGGGCAAGGACGGAGGTAAAGAAACAAGTTGACATTCTGTTAATAAGTGCCAATTTCTTGAGCTCTATGTCCTGAGTGCTTTAAATAAGCTAAATTCAGCAGTCAATTCTCAATCGTCATCAGACTTAATCTAACTTTGACACAGGCTGTTTTTAATCAGCTTTGACACCTGTGATCTCTCCCTCCTTGAAATATTTTCCTCATTTGGTTTCCATTATAATTTTAACAATGGAATGTTCCAGTATTTGAGCTTTCTATTATTTCTCCTTTCTAACTATACTGCTTCCCTCAATGACCTCATCTACCTCTGCAACTTTAAAATAATATGCTGACAATTACCTTAGGTATTTTATATCCTCAGGCCAAACTTCCCTCTAAACTCCAGAGACTAGCCAACTGTGTCTCTAGAATGTGAAATGGTCATCCTGAAATTAACATGTCCAAAGTTGTACTCTCAAATCCCCCATCATTCAAAACCTGCTGTTTTTATATTCGTTCTCTTCTCTACTCATGCAATTCTATTCTTCCTAATGTTCACAGTCACTAACCTTGCGAATTATCTTTTTTCTCAAATAAATCCCATAACTAGACTGAACCTAACTAGTCAATGTTCAAGACACGTACAGAATTGATCAGTTCTTATCTCTATTGTCACCACTTGCTACCATTCTAAGCCGCTCTGTACCTCTCCCCAACTACTGTAATAGTTGGTCTCTCAGATTTCACTCCTGAAATGTTACTGAATCTATGTAGCTACTGGGGCGATCCACTTAAGATCTAAGTCAGATCATATCACACTATTATTCCATTCAATGGTTTCCATACTATTCAGAATAAAAGCCAGAGTTTCCACAATGGTCAATGAGGCTCTATATAATGTGGTCAGACTACCTTTCTGACTTCCCCCATGGCTACTCCCCACCTTACATCCTCTGGTGGAGCCACGGAGGCCTGCTCGTGGCTCCTTTACACACCACACATGCTCTGGCCTCAGGATCTTTGAACTGGTGGGCACTGTTCCTCTTTCTGGACCACTCTTTTTTTAATGATTGATTGATTTTTATTTGATAAAGGGTTTGCACACTTGCTGGAATAGAAAGAGAGAGAAAGTGTGAAAGCACCCAATGGGGGATGGTGGCCCGCAATCCCTCCTCCATTTCTCCTTTCGGGATTTTGGGCATGCACACACATGTTCCCAGCATGGTATTTAAGTCGCCAAGTACGGGACTTGGACTTGGACTACACAGTCAAGTACACTAAGGTAGACTACACTACCTTAGGAATCCAGATACCTTCACCACCACGCCACAGCTGGTCCTCCCTCTTTTTTAAAATATCTGTATCTATGTATCTAGCTCCCTCATCTTTTTCCAATATTCAAATGGTAACTTTTCTGTTAAGCTTTCCCTCACCAGTATTTTACTTGACACTCCCTACTTCTTTTACAGTAGGTTTGCTCCACAGTTTTTGTTAATTAATGTTTTTATTTATTATCTGTCTCTCATCATTAGAATACAAGTTCTGAAACACACATTTTTGTCTGTTTTGTTCACATCTATGCCTGATTAATAAAAGACCCTCAATAAAAATGTTTCTATTATGACAGTATATAGTAGACATGTTTTAAAAAATTCGTGTTCTGCAAAATCATGCATTAAAAATAACTTATGGAGGGAAGGCTGGAGGGTAGCACAGCAGTAAAAGTGACCAAAGGGGTAAAATTTGGTATTTCTATTGGTGACCTCCCTGAGTATCCAGGTATGTACATGCCTATGGTCCCGGGCTGCCTGTGTCAGGGGGAGGGAGTGGTTCATGGTGTTAGGACCCTGTTAGAGATACTGTCTATTGGTCCATTTGTCTCTCACTCTCACACAGTCGTGGAAGAATATACAAATTCACTTAAAAAACAAAACATTTGGGAAAAAACAGGACTGGAACAGACCACTGGCAAACATGCAACTTTGTAACCAAAACAATAATGGGTGTATTAACTGGAGTACGGAAGATGCTTGGGAGATGCCTTGAATCTCCTAAATAAGAACCTCAGTACAGCTGAAGGCTGCCTCATGAGATATTAAAAAGAACACCTGTCCAGTCAATAGTGTAGTACTGGGTCACCAGGAAATTCATGACTTTTTTTTTAGAGAGATTTTTACTATAGGGCTCGTATACTCTCTGGAGAGACAGAGAGAGACAGAGAGCCAGAAAGCAAGAAATCACCCCCCTTGGAGGATAGCCATAGCACAATTCCTTCTCCCCCATTCTCCTCTTGGGGTTTTGGGCATGTATGCACATGTGCCCTGGCATAAGTTTTAGGCTCTGGGTCCAGGACTCAAACAGTGGTTGACTATGTAGAAGATTAGCATGTAACCATTAAGCCATCTGCTGGTCCCAGTCATGATGCACTTTAGCATAGAAAAATACGCCATGACTTTCCTGACGACCTAATTAAAGTCGGCTGGATACCACATGGATGACTACATAGTTGAATCCCAGACACAGTGGTTTGAAAAACATGCCAGGCACATGGACGTGTGTGCCCAGGATCCTGAACAGAGAGAGAAGTGGAGAAGAGGGGACTGCAGTATACTCATTCCCCATAATGGGTACTTTCTCATCTCCCCCACCCTTTTCTCTCTCTAATGCACTCACATAACCTCTGGCAAGTTAAAAAAAAAATTCTTTTTAAACCAAAAAGTGGAAATGTTTGCTTGCCAGAAGGTACTCAGACAATGCAGTTGATTGGTTGCTACTGATTGGGCAAAGGAAGAAGTATGGCTCGACAGAAGTATTGCAAGAGTGTTGAAAAAACTGTCAAATGAACTGAAATCAAGCTGAGGGCTTTTTCCATTCATGCTTCAGATTAAAATTCTATTCCTGCTATTCCAGCTCCCCTTGCCTAGGTAAAAAATACTGATAAACCAACATAACTTCCACTTCATACTGTCAGGGGTGCCCATTTATCTATCAGCAAATGAGTGATACAGAAACAAATCACAAAAGTCTAGATTCTGCCTTTTTTTAATTGCCAGATAACATGTATGCTTGTGAGAGGGCAAGACGAGCTAGTGAGCAGCCCCCCGACCCCATGGGATATGCTCACACCACAATCCTTTTCCTCCACTTCTCCATCACCATCAGGATTTGGGCATAAACACACAATGCCCACCATGTCTTTCAAGTCACCATGGCCAGGACTCAAACTGTGGTTGGCCATGAAGGATCTGGCTCCCACTGCACAATGCTTAACCACTGCACTTACAGGACTGGAGATTCTTTTATTTATTTATTATTTTTTTAAGATTTTTGCCATAAGCCATATGCACTCAGCAGAGACAGAAGGAAGGTGAAAAACTACCCCCCAACGAGGCAGGGAATGGCCATGCCACAATCCCTTCTCCATTTTCCTTCTGGGATTTTGGGCACACATGCACATGCATCCAGCATGTCTCAAGCTGGTAGGTCTAGGACTAGAACCCAGGAGTCAGCCATGTGGGATCTATAACCTTAACCCACACCACCTGCTGGCCAAGATTCTTTTTGGATGAATGAAAAAAAAAATGGCTTCTTTTTAAGGGACCTTAGAGTCACTATAACATTACAATGCAAATGTGAAAAAAAAAAAAAAAACTATACATGTTTACTACAAATTGTATGTCGTAATTCTAGAACATACCAATGAGTACAGACTTAAGTATCTATAAACATCATACCATATAGTGAAATCACTATAAGAGCCATTACTTACAGATATCTCAGGGTTGGAAAGCTCATATAAAAGTTTCTTGGCATCAATAACTGCCTCATATAATCTCAGATACTGTCCGTCACTTGCTACAAAGCATGCACTGGGAGAGTTACAGTATGTACCTAGAAAGCATTTACAAACATTTAACATTTAACTCTTCAGTGATGATGTCAGAATATCTAAAGTAATGAAATAAACATCAGAATGCTTACCGAGACAGTAACTGGGTATAAGAGTGGGCAGCCATGCCACGTTGGAAAAGGCAGAAACGTGAAGGGAATTAATCCGGGCAAGCTCAGAAACTCCTCCAGAGAAAGACAATGGCCCAACTGGATCAACCCTCCACAGAATAAGTTCACTGTACACTGCATTGGGGTCCTGAAAGGCCACATCAATGGTGCTTTTGTTTTGTTGTGTGGAAGAACATCCTTCGGGAGTTACAGCACTGTAAGGTTGCTTTTGGCTCTCAACATCTGGCGTCCTCAGTGCGTTATGGTGTGACGTGGTCAGCAGTAACGGCAACACTGAATGGCAAGCTAAATCGTTAAGATGAAAGCGGTGACCACAATATCTGGACTTGTGGGAAATACTGAGGACTGTAGAAAAAGCAGATTCCTCGGCAAAACTGACCAGCCACTGGTTCAGAGAACCATCAGCGTGCTTTGAAATCATCATAACGTTAGGGGTAAAAATACTTAATTTTAAACTATTCGATGATTTGCTGTGAGCAGAGGAGATGAGCACTGATGTGGAACGAGGAAGGCCGGAAGGTCTCTGCTTCCCTTGCTGAACGGCCAAGTCCACGTTCTTGGTACAGGCGTACATCACCACACTTTTACAGAGCGAGTTGGCATCGCCCGTGGGGAAGGCTACCGGAATTCTGGAAACGAAGGACACCTGGAATTAAGAAAGCGAGCATTAGAAAGGACAGGAAGAGGCCATCTAAAACAGCACTCACATCAACAACAAGTAGCTCTCCAGAGATCATAGTAACAGTACCTGTACTTGACGGAACATCCCAGGCTGGTATTCATCCAGCCAGTCCAAAGGGACCTTAGAGTCACTATAACATTACAATGCAAATGTGAAAAAAAAAAAAAAAACTATACATGTTTACTACAAATTGTATGTCGTAATTCTAGAACATACCAATGAGTACAGACTTAAGTATCTATAAACATCATACCATATAGTGAAATCACTATAAGAGCCATTACTTACAGATATCTCAGGGTTGGAAAGCTCATATAAAAGTTTCTTGGCATCAATAACTGCCTCATATAATCTCAGATACTGTCCGTCACTTGCTACAAAGCATGCACTGGGAGAGTTACAGTATGTACCTAGAAAGCATTTACAAACATTTAACATTTAACTCTTCAGTGATGATGTCAGAATATCTAAAGTAATGAAATAAACATCAGAATGCTTACCGAGACAGTAACTGGGTATAAGAGTGGGCAGCCATGCCACGTTGGAAAAGGCAGAAACGTGAAGGGAATTAATCCGGGCAAGCTCAGAAACTCCTCCAGAGAAAGACAATGGCCCAACTGGATCAACCCTCCACAGAATAAGTTCACTGTACACTGCATTGGGGTCCTGAAAGGCCACATCAATGGTGCTTTTGTTTTGTTGTGTGGAAGAACATCCTTCGGGAGTTACAGCACTGTAAGGTTGCTTTTGGCTCTCAACATCTGGCGTCCTCAGTGCGTTATGGTGTGACGTGGTCAGCAGTAACGGCAACACTGAATGGCAAGCTAAATCGTTAAGATGAAAGCGGTGACCACAATATCTGGACTTGTGGGAAATACTGAGGACTGTAGAAAAAGCAGATTCCTCGGCAAAACTGACCAGCCACTGGTTCAGAGAACCATCAGCGTGCTTTGAAATCATCATAACGTTAGGGGTAAAAATACTTAATTTTAAACTATTCGATGATTTGCTGTGAGCAGAGGAGATGAGCACTGATGTGGAACGAGGAAGGCCGGAAGGTCTCTGCTTCCCTTGCTGAACGGCCAAGTCCACGTTCTTGGTACAGGCGTACATCACCACACTTTTACAGAGCGAGTTGGCATCGCCCGTGGGGAAGGCTACCGGAATTCTGGAAACGAAGGACACCTGGAATTAAGAAAGCGAGCATTAGAAAGGACAGTAAGAGGCCGTCTAAAACAGCACTCACATCAACAAGTAGCTCTCCAGAGATCATAGTAACAGTACCTGTACTTGACGGAACATCCCAGGCTGGTATTCATCCAGCCAGTCCACGTGCCAAACCAGCAGAGAGCCATCCATGGGATGGATACTGAAGAGCATGTCTGCATTTCTGCTCCATTCAGACAGAAGTACTTCGATCTGATGATCAATAGCAGCTGACGGTAATGGTGTAAAACTTGAGCTTGGTACCACTTTATCAGCGTCCAGTTCCTTCTTTTCATGATTTATTTTCAGATCATCAACATCATCTTCCATTTCTACAAGCAAAAGCATTCACGAACCAGGTAAATACAATTGGACTAGTACTATAAATTAAGAAATGTCTCTTTTAAGTGTATTCAAGATATGAAACAATAGTTTTCATACTAACAAATATTTAGTTTCAGAAATGTAGGGCTGCTGGAGTTAACACAAGGCCTACAGAACTCCTCTTATTTCGGGGTCCCTGCAGCAACAAGGACTATTACTAGGAAATTATTGGATGTAATCGACACTTTCTTCACAATATCAGATTTATGCAATCTGAGCATGCTACACTAGTTACACTCTAGGTACACATTTATAATTTCTATGGTATCTTAAACTTTTTATTTTTAGGTTTTTGCCATAGGGTGTGTGCGCTCACCAAAGAGAGAGACAGACAGAGGGATGACAAGATTAAATGAATACGCTTATAGCACCCAATTTCCATATTTCCTTCAAAACATCAGTAATTAAAAAGAAATTTGGGGGCAGCCAGTGGCGTGGTGGTTAAGGCAGTTGGATCCCACACAGCTGACTTCGTGGTTCAAGTCCTGGACCCAGGGGCTTGAGAAACACACTAGATGCATGTGCCAGTGTACCAACGATCATTTAAACAGGGGAACCAGCAGGTGGCGTGGTGGTTAAGGTGCTGGAGACTCCCATATGGCCAACCACAGTTCGAGTCCCAGACCTGGTGGCTTGCTTTCTCACTTTCTCTCTCTCTCTCTCTCTCTCTCTCTGGTCAAATGAAAATAAATGAATGAATAAATAAATTTTTTTAAAAAATCATTTAAAGAAAGGACAGATGGAGGAGAAAGCACTGAGATGCGGCCATCTCCCTGGGGGGAGGGGTACTTTCTCACCTCCCTCTCTCTTTCTCTCTTTCTCTCTCTCTCATCTTCATGTGCCCACTGCCAAAATTTAAGAAAATAAATAAATTTATCTGTATGCCAACTTAATACACATAAATGTGGATAGTCTCACCTCTTTCAAAAATTCCAGTCCTTTGGGACCAGCAGGTGGTATAGTGGTTAAGGTGCTAGATTCCCACATGGCCAACTGAGGTTTGAGTCCCGGACCTGGCAACTTCAAACTCATACCAGGAATGTGTGAGCACATGCCCAAAATCCCAAGAGGAGAACAGAGGAGAACGGAGGAGAAGGAAGGGACTGTAGCATGGCCATCCCCCCAGGGGGTGATTTCTTTCCCTCTCTCTCTCTTTCCGCTAAGTACATGCAACCTATAGCAAGAATTTCTCATTCAAAAAAAAAAAAAAAAAAGAAAAGAAACCCAGCTTCCCACACTCCTCCCTACTCATGGCCTGAAATAGAGAGGCTTTCTGGGAAGAGATGCTTTAAAAAATATTTTCACTGTTTACAAGATTTTCAAATATAAGTCAAGACATATAAATCAATAAGAAAGCATAAAATTCAACAGAAGGGCTAAAATATAAAGATACCCATTCTGTTCAATTTGTGTCAAGAAAATGCAAAGTAAAACAATATGAGATTTTCCCTTCATTGACTGGCAAAATGAAAGGATACGCTCATGACAGCAACATGGGATAAACAACTTCTTTAGCACTGGAGGAAGTATAGACTGGTAAAACATTTCTGGAGGGCAATCTGTCGGAAGCTGGTATTTAAAAATTTGTATAGTCCCTGGAAATTCCACACATGGGAATCTATGTCACACAAAGATGAAAAGATGTGCCCTTATACCATTAGTAATAGAGTAAAAACAACTTTAATGTCTATCAATAGGAGAACTGTTACTTAGACATGGGATATTGGGCAGCTGAGAAAATAATGATGGAATACTGCCCGTTACTGAATCACAACAAGTTACGGAACATTTTTGTCTAAAACTGAACACTTACAGTACAAATTTTTTTAAAAGTTGCCTTTATATTACATCTGCATAAGCACAGAAAATAATCCATCTGGAAGGATAGTCACCAAACTTAACGATATGAACCCGTGTGCACCATTCCCCGCCCCCATGATCATATACAATCCCACACACATTTATGAGGCACAGACTGTCAGAGAGTACTGGCTGCCCCGGTTTCACACTTTCTGGTCCTCGCATCCGATGTCAGGCACTGTGGCATACGCCTATTGTCCCAATCACTTGGGAGGCAAAAATACGAGTGTGCGGCCAGACCAAGAAAGAGACTATCTCCTTAAAAAAAATGTAAAAATGCAATTTACACAAGACTTCAAATTTTTCAAACAGAATTATTACCTTCATCAGATTTTACATCTATTTGATTAGAGTCTTCTGCACTAGCTTCAGAAGATGGCTGTTCAAAACTTTTTTTCAGTTGCTGTAAAAAGACTTCCATGGACAAAGTGAAATGTAGTTCTTTGTTGTTTAGCCAGTGTACCACAAAAGGCCCATTCTTCTCTTCATTTTCACTTAGACTCAGAGACGTAATAGATGGAAGAAGTGGAATGTCTACATAAAAAAAATTACAAAATTAAAATTGTTTATCATTCTAACCTATAAAGCACACACATCTCATGTTTTTATTATTGACTACTACATTTATCTTTTTACAAGTTTATACTTCACTTTTAAGTTTAACTCTATTTTAACTTTATGTGTGTGTGTGTGTTGAGACTATTTCTAGAGCTGTTTTAGGTTCAAGGCGATAGTGAGTGGAAGGTGTGCAGAAAGTCATATACCCATTGTCCCACCATGTTAGAAGCCTCCCTCATTATCAACATCCACCACCAAAATGGAACATCTGTTATAAGTTATAAGCCTCATTATCATCCACAGTCCAGTTTACCTTGGGGCTCACTCTTGGTGGTATACATTCCATGGCTGGGACAAATTCATGATGATATTACATTTATCTTTATACCTCTGAAGTAAACTTCATTTAATCTATGAATAAGACACTGACACTATTATTCATTATAAAAATTTAAATAATAAATTTAACATTACCCATTACAAAGAAAATGAAATTACATAGTCTAGGTCATATAGCATAGTATTTTCTTCAATACTAAAAAATATCCTCATCAAGACGTATATCTATAATTTGAAGATACATTAATGAGAATATCTTACTAAATTATTACAAGTTTTGGTAACACACATATTTTAACCTGGCCTATAATGGAAAATGTCTTCAACAAACAAACAAAAAAATAAAAAACAAACCTACTTAATGACCACAGTAAGCTATATAGCCTCAGTTAGGTGCTACTTTATAGTATGTCCATTCTACTCACTGAGTTTTACACCTTAAGTCAGACATGTGTTCATAGATATGTTTGTATCAACTGTACTTACTATTGAAAGTATTTAGTTTAATTAAGATCTTTTATGAATCAATAAAATGTGAAAAAAACACATGATATCAGATAAACTAATTATGTATATATCATAATAGCAACAATTCTATTTTTTACTTAATAAACTAACATATTAACTTCTTTAATGACCAACCCATCTAAATCTAAGATGGCTATTGCTTATTTATTGGCATCAGGACTGAAATATGAAGGCATAAAACTGATATTCCTTTGTCAAGAGCTAGGAAAGCATTCAAGACAGATTACCTTAGCTAAAACAATGTTCCTGGGTATTGTTTATGATGTCTCTGCTACTATGGTTTGAATATGCCCTCTGAAATTCAACTTACAGAAACAGACCCCCTAGTGCAATGGTATGCAGAGGTGAGTAGGCTGGGCCACAGTGGCACAGGAGACCAGCAACTCTGCAACACCAGGGCCACACAGGAAGAGCCAAGCTTTGGATCCTGGCTGACCTGAATGTGCCAGGTGTGTCTACAACCTGGCCGGTTAGAAGGCTGGGAGGAAGATCTTGGAGCTGTCTGCAGTGTGTGTGTGTGTGTGTGTGTGTGTGTGTGTGTGTGTGTGTGTGTTGGGTGTGTGTGTGTGGTGGGTGTGTGTGTCTAAATAAATTTAAAAGTAAAAAAGGTGATTTAGACCATGAGGACTCCGCTCTGAAGGAATCAATGACATCTTTTAGGCGGGGTCACTCATCATGAGTGGTCTCCCCACAAAAGGATGCATTTGGTCCCTTTTCTCTCTGTCTTAGGTGCTTATCCCCCTTCCACCAGGTCCTGACTCTCACCAAATCCAACCACTAGGCTCTTAGACTTCCCAGACTCCACAACCATCAGCTAAACAAACTTCTAAAATACCCAATCTATGGTATTCCACTATGGCAGCAGAAAATGAACTAAAACATTGCTAAATTAGGTAGACTGAAGTACAGTATATTTGTCAGTTGTGACAAATGACAATCCTTAATAATTAGAGATAAAGGAGAATTTCAGTGCACCATAATTAAATCTGGATCATGTTGGTATCTGCTGAATTGTAAAGGCTGGGAATGGATTCAGGAACATAAGCAATTCTCTTCTTTAAAAAATCCTACATTTTTAAAGGAAAGATAAATAACATGAGGTGTATCTACTGGGGCCAGCAGGTGGTATGGTGGGTAAGGTACCAAACTCCCAGATGGCTGACTGTCGGCGTCTGCCCCAGGGCTTGGGTCTGGCTAAATTATGATTAGAATGCCCCAGGGCTTGGGTCTGGCTGAATTATGACTAGAGGGCTGCTGGTGAGGAAGAGACAGAGGACGAGAAAGAGAAAGCCCTTTACTTTGTCAGAACTTGGGAAATGGAAAGGAGACAAAGGGAGAGTAGAAATGGACACAGGCAGTTTGAGCCTAGGTAGTCTAAGCAATTTGTGCCGCCCAGACGAACTGGACATTTTTATTTATAGTATAAGGAGACATTATATATGTATGTTTCATGATACTTTATAGATTGGTTGCCAGGTTACAGACAATAAGAAGCAATTAATAAATTTATGAGGGCTTAGTTATACTAGGCCAGATGTATTTTTTGGTGATAATTTTATTAAGAGAAAAAAAAATTTTTTAATGTAGAGAACTAGTCGTTAGGTGTGGGGAAGGAGCTAAAGAACTTTTTTATAAGGAGTGTACTATTATACCCAGAGAAGTCTAAAAACGTGTCCCCACAACTGACCACAATTCAAATCCCAGCCCTCGTGGCTTGAAAAGCACACTGAACACTAGTGTGTGAATGCCCAAAACCCTGATGGGAAGGGAAAATGGAAGAACAAGGATTGTGGTGTGACCACATCTCACTGGGAGGTGCTCCCTCTACTCACTCCCATCTAGTAAGTGTACACATCCACGGGCAATTAAAAAAAAAAAAGAATTAATATTATAGATGATGACTGGTGAAGAAAAGGATTAAAAAAGCCTTTCTTGGGCCATGCTGTGGCACAGTGGTTACGATGGCTGCATACCACATGACCAACTGCACAGTAAGAGTTCAAGACCGAGAGGCAGCTTGAAAAACACACCAGACATGTTGGGCGTGGTGGCGCCCAGCCTATGGAAAAACACACCAAACATGCGTATGCCCAAAATTCTGACAAGAGGAAGAAATGGAGAAGGGATTGCTGCATGACCATTCACCAAGGGAGGTGCTTTCTCAGCTTCACTCTCTCTCTCTCTGTCTCCAGCAAGTACATATGTCCTCTGGCAAATTAAAAAAAAAAGAAAGAAAGAAAGAAAGAAAGGAAAGCACCGTTCTCTTGTCCCTTCTTTTTATTTCCTCCCCAAGCCTTAGTCTTGCAAAATGATCACCTATATGCAGTTTTCACAGGAGGTGTCAGAAGCTAAAGCAATTCTCTTTTGGAGGCAAGTTCTAAGAGTGCACAGATCTATCCCATCCCACAGCTTCTACTCATAACTATGCATGCCTCAGTACAATTGTTTGCTTAATATTTACATAACCCCTGCCTGCCTGTCTGTCTCAGGAGAGCAAGGACCACACCTGTTTTGATCACCACTGCATTTCCAGGTCCTACAACTCTCTCTAGTTCCCAAACTAATGCAAGCGAAGCACTTTACGAAAGCTTTAACAGGCTGAGCTGCCACTCCCACTTCTTCTTGGTGGATATGCAAGGGAAATATGCAAGGGACTGGCTCTCTGAGGAGTCATGGTTAAGATGTTCCAATATCGAGACCAGCAGGTGGGTGGTGTAGTGGTCAAAGTGCTGGACTCCCATATAGTCAACTATGGCTCAAGTTCTGGCACCTGGTGGCTTAAAACTCACACCAGGCACGTGTACATGTATGTCCAAAACCCCAAGAGGAGAATGGAGAAGTAACTGCATCATGATCATCCCCCGGGTGGCGGTGGGGTGATTTCTCGCTTTCCGTCTCTCTGTCTCTGTCTCTCTGGTAAGCGCACATGCCCTATACTAAAAATCTCTATCTGAAACAAAACGAAAGATTTTCTGAGATCTGACTTACAATCAACCTATATGTGTAGTTTTCAAAGGAGGCATCAGAAATTAAAGCAATTCTTGCGAACCAGCAATTAGCGTAATGGCTATGTCGCTGGACTCCCACGTAGTCGACCGCGGTTCGCGTCCCGGACCCGGTGACTTAAAACTCACGCTGGGCACATGTGCGTGTGTGCCCAAGATCCCAAGAGGAGAATGGAGGAGAAGGGATTGCGGTGTGACCATCCCCCCTGGGGGGTGCTTTCTCGCTTTCTGTCTCTATGTCTCTCTCTCTCTGTCTGGCAAGCGCACGCACCCTATAGTGAAAACCTCTCCAAAAAGAAAAAGAAATTGAAGCAATTCTCTACTGGAGACTCCGGTAGATCACAGACCTAATTATTAGATACACAAGAAAGAGGGGATAACATTTTTTAGCAGAAGCATTCTAACTAAAAGGAAATATATCTCTTCTGATCACAGAAATCTGATTAAAGTTATTTTTATGAGAAATCATCATGGGAAGGGCAGAAAAACTAGAACTAAGAATGTGCTCAGGCTTGCCCCTTACTCTAGTGATTTAGGGTGTCGGATCTCACATGGACCACTGTGATTGGAATCCTGGCCCTGGCTGCTTGAAGCTGGGCACATGTATGTAAGTACCAAAAACCTCTAAGGATAGAAAAATGGAGAAGAGACTGTGGTCTCATCACACTCCACTGGACGTCGCTTTCCCGCTCACCCTCTATGTCACTCTAGCAAACTCATGTACCCTCTGGCAAATTAAACAAACAAACAAAAGGCTCTTATGAGCTCCTCTCCTATGGCTATTTCTATCTGTAACCATATACGTGAAGCCAAATCTGAGAGTTATGCTGTTAAGAAATATAGTAAAAATATATTCATGTAGGAAAACAGGGTATTCCAACAGCTCAAATTTATGGGCAGGAGTTCTCCCTAGGGCCCAATTTGTCATCAATATTATTTTGTTTTTATTTTTTCTACATCTTCCTTAGAAGCCGATCATCTAAAGAAACATTTTAGAGTTTTCCTTATTGGAACTCAGGGTTCCCTTTCAGGAATCCCTGGTGCTTTTCCATTAATGTAGAAATTCAACCTTTTTTATTCTCCTAACATTGTCCTTTACTTGGCAGTGACCTTGAAATTTATCCCAATGACCTCAGTGGTAACTCTGGGCACTATAATAACTGTCTGTATATATTTTCAATTAAAGTGATGGCATTTCCCAAGCCTATACATATATATATTTTAATGACATGAAGCACATGCACGAGAGAAAGAACGCTTAAGAGCTGAGCCCTTTAGCTCCTCAAGATCTGGGTGCCCACACACACACCTAGCACGTTTCACTGACAGATGTGGCATGAACTGTTGTCTCCATATGGCTTCTAGCACTGCAGGGCACCGACACTGAAATGCACCACAGCAGCTGGGCTCCAATGTGATATTTTAATCACGATAATTCAATATTCTCCCACAGATTCTTTTTTGACCCATAGATCATGTTAGAGTTAGGACTGTTGTCAACGAAATGAGACCCTAAGATAAGCAAATGTCTTTCAGTCCTACAAGGAGCTCCGGATTTCAGCTCGCGAGAGTGTTTCTCACTTTGATGAACGGAATTCCAGTGGAGTAATGAATAGTTCATAATTAGTGCTTTATTTCCTTGAAGGATGAATACTATAAATCCAGCATGCTATGTGGAAACAGGTTATTCTTAATTTATGCCTCAGAATATTCCACAGCATACAAACACTCATCAGTAGTGGTTATCTTCTAAGGAGGAGGCATAGGGCAGGGTAAAAGTAAAAAACAGTTTTTCTTTATAGTTTCTGTACAGACAGCATTTATCAAGTCCAAGTTTTGTCTTTAATATTGTTTCAAGTAATATTCCAATATATCTAAATTGTGATAATTGATTTTTATGCTCACAGAAAATTATTTACTAAAATTATAAGCACCTAAATCTTCAAATTCATAGATAATCCAAATATTCTAGACCTTTCCGACTTATACTATATATGTTTGATTACAGAGGTAAGTTTCTTTTTTTTTTGGAGAGGTTTTTGCTATAGGGCATGTGCGCTCACCAGACAGACAGAGAGAGACATAGAGATAGAAAGCGAGAAATCACCCCCCAGGGGGTATGGCCATGCTGCAATCCCTTCTCCTCCATTCTCCTCTCGGGATCTTGGGCACACATGCACACGCGTCCGGCGTGAGTTTCAAGCCACCGGGTCCGGGACTCGAACCATGGTTAACTACAGGGGGGCCCAGCAACCCAGCCATTACGCTAACAGCTGGTCCCCAGAGGTAAGTTTCTTAACTCATCCAGGTATCTTTACATATTTCTGTCTTCTATACAGTATCTCCAGAGATAAGGAATAAACACAATGGTTTTATTTTATCAGCTATGAAATAATTATAAAATACTACTTCTGTGGCTTCAGTTCTGTTAAGGAATAGCTCAAATTTAACTTATGAAAAAATTAATAATAAATCTGAGTGATTTATCAAGATCTTACATCACAACCTAAATCATGGCCTTCAAAGTAAATAGAAACCAGTGAACTTGCTACAATGAAAAGTCCCAGGGACCAGCAGTTAGCGTAATGGCTATGTCGCTGGACTCCCACGTAGTCGACCGCGGTTCACGTCCCGGACCTGGTGGCTTAAAACTCACGCCGGGCGCATGTGCGTGCGTTCCCAAGATCCCAAGAGGAGAATAGAGGAGAAGGGATTGAGGTGTGACCATCCCCCTGGGGGGGGTGATTTCTCGCTTTCTGTCTCTTTCTCTCTGTCTGGTGAGTGCACGCGCCCTATAGCGAAAACCTCTCAAAAAAAAAAAAAAAAAGTCCCATAAGAAAGTTACCTCACGTATTTTACTTGTTAAAAACGTACTTGTTACTCAATTAGTCTATCTAATTTCAAAAATCCGTTGTGGACGCGGAGCTGGTACCTGTGGCTGGGTTGATGCTGGCTGCAATGTGGAAGTGGCAGAGTGCGTTGGCATGCAGTGGAGTGCTCCTGTGGACCAGGTGAGGGTCCTGCTGATGAGGCAGATACCCCGTGTGTGCAACCAGGGCCAGCGACCTCCTCCGCCCTCTGCGAAAATGTCTCAGATTCACCTGTGCGAAGAAGAGCGAAGTGAAACCAATGCCTACAGTTCTAAATGACACATCCGGAGGTACATAACGATTGGTGGAAGTCATCTATATTCTATTTCAGATAACTTTATATATAAAAATACCTTTCAATTTTTTTGTATAGCAAATTTTTCTGAAGAATAAGGTTAAAATTTAAGATGCCTGGCTCTTCTCTTTACCTTTGTGCAGAATTTTGCAATTTCTATTTATCTTCTTAAAATTCATTTCCTGATATTAAAAATTAAAATAATTTCTTCCAATATTACATTTGAAAATAGTGATGCTTCTACATATGCTTTTCTTTGTCTACAGCTTACATTTTTTTTTTTTAATTTGGAGAGGTTTTTGCTATAGGTCACGTGCGCTCGCCAGACAGAGAGAGACAGAGAGACAGAAAGTGAGAAATCACCCGCCAGGGGGGATGGTCACACCGCAATCCCTTCTCCTCCATTCTCCTCTTGGGATCTTGGGCACACACGCACACGTGCCCAGCGTGAGTTTAAGCCACCGGGTCTGGGACTCGAACTGCGGTCGACTACGTGGGAGTCCAGCGACATAGCCATTACGCTAACTGCTGGTCCCTCCACAGCTTACATCTTATGACCGAAAAACATTAGCTAGAATCACTGTAATGCATTACAATGTTTCATAATTTACCACATATTTTCACAGAGATTATCTCATTTAATACCACAAGACAGACAATACAAATACTGCCAGTCGTGTTTTTCGTATGGTAAGACACTTTATATAGAACCCAAGGTCATTCAGCTGATAAATGGCAGAGCTATAAGTAGAACGAGGCTTCAGATTCCTAGTCAAGGATGTTTTCCGGTTATTTTTACATATAACTATTCTATCCATTGTTGATTGCCATAATACATATATATTTATTTCATGAGCCATTAGAATACTATTCAAATTTGAAAAAATTTAAAATCACTTCCTGCCTTCAATATTAATAAAATAGTAAGAGCCTTTATTTCTGTTCTATATTCAATTAGTCTAAATAACAAAAATTGACTTTTACTTTCAACTCTAATTATTAAAATAAAGATTCCAAGTTTGAGGGAATTCTAAATAAAATTAATGGTGGGACAGAATATGATACTCTGCCCCAACCTGTATGAAAGAAAAAGAAAATTATTTTTACATTCAAATTATTGTGTTCTCAGACTTTAATTTACTCTGCTATTTCAGCTAAGTCAAGTGTAACTGTCACTTTGTTATCAATTAATCTAAGATTAACTTTATAAAAATAGGTTGTTCTGTTCTAGACAAAATCCTTAAGTATATTTTTTGAACTAGGTAAAATAAATTTTTCTGAAATTTTCATAACATAGATTTTTTTTTATGATACTATGTTACAAATAAGGCAATGTACAAAATGTTTTTTTAATTTGTAGGAAATAATATTAGCAGTCAGCAGATGGCACAGTGGATACACCTCTGGACTTCCACATGGGCGACTAAAGTTCAAGTCTCGAACCTGGTGGCTTGAAACTCACACCAGGCACACGTGCGGGCATGCCCAAGATCCCAGGAAAAGAATGAAAGAGAAGGGAATGACTGAGGTGTCGGGGTGATTTCTAACTTTACCTTTCAATGTCTCTGTCTCTCCCCCCCAGCAAAAGCACATGCACTAAAGAATAAAAAAGAAAATATTTAACAAAAAACACTCACTTCTAAAGCATTTTGAACTCGTTCTTTACTGGAAGTGTTTCTCTTGAAGTTATTTAAGTGAATTGGTTCAGTCCAATGGCTGAAGTCGCCTCCGTACAGCAAACAATCATTCGGTAAAAACGTCTCTACCCAAAGACGACACACATTATCCTTGCAACACGTCAGCAGCACGTTACAAACGGAAGCCCTAAAGGAGAGACAGATGTGAGGCCAAAATACAAAATTCATATAGCACCACAGACATTCTAGCCATGTGTCTATAATTATGTAAATGCATATGAGCTACCAACAAAGAAAATATCTTTGTATTTAGATTTCATCACAGCAAATGCTTGCCAACCTATTTCTTTTCTGCCTAAAATTAAACAGCCTTTGTTCCAATAAATCTATGATTCATCTTACATTTAGAGAACAAAGAGTGAAATCAAATCGTAATCCCTTAGTTGACAAGGAAAAAAAAAATTTCCTGATTTCTTCAGTGGATGGTTATTACTTAAATTATTTCATAATGCTTAATTTTTGCTTCCTATAAAGGTACCTACACAATGGTCTTGAACAAGCTATGGTAACTATTTAGGACACTTATTTTCTCTGTACCCAAGAACCCAAAGCAGTGAAGTACAAAAATAGAAAATTCATGATAAAGTAAGCACTGACCACCTCCTCACTCTTCAGACATCCTTGACTTTCAGCTAATCTCCCTCTTGTTACCTCCTCAAAATAAAAGCAAAAATCTACTGCATATGTATCACTAAGCTCCATCAACATCATCAAGAGCTCTTTGTCTATTGACAAAGACTACCTTTTATTGAGTAACACAGCAAATTTAGAAAAATTAGAGAAAAAAATCACAATATCTTTTTACTAGGCACGTGTTCCAACATAATTATCTAGTTAACATTAGCAGAAGGCTTTATCACATGACAGTGAGTTAAAGAAAAAACACATAGAATTTCCTATAGTACCCACTTTGTTGAACATGATCCTCCTGATGAAAAATTAACAAACAGCAGAGAAGAAAAGGGAGAGCAGCATGTTCTGTCGTGGTTGCTCCCCCCTTCAGCTTCCTCCTCCACCCTCTCCTCTCTCGCTCTGGCCCCCTCTTTCCTTTCTGTCCACTCCCCTGCCTCTTTCGTCCCACCTACACCTTCTGTGGGCTTCCCTCCTGCCCCCTCCCACCATTCTCCACTCTTGGCCTCCTGAGCCGCTCCTCTGCCCACCCCTCTTCCTCTGTTTTGCAGCTCTCCTCCCTGAGCACCCTTCCTTTCCTCCTTACCAAACTCCTGGCTGCTCCTGCACGCTCAAGCCCACTCTGACATACTTCCCCTCACTCTTTTCCCTGACCCTCTCCTGGTCTGCCGGTCTGTCTTAGTTTTTAATATTCACATATACACAGACTGTGATGATAAAAGTGAGCAAATAGATACAAGCAACAAAAAAGTACATAAAAAACTATATGAAAGTTCAAGGTTTACAATGCCAATCTCAAACACATAAAACAGAAAGACTTATGAAAACAGAGACAAGGAGAAATACACAGACAACAATCAGAAGAGGCTTAACACAGGCGAGAACAACACAGCAGGCGAGAAAGATCACAACTCAGATGAATGGAGACTTATGGACTGGAGTGCAGGCAGCCCCACGTGACTCCTCAGCCCATCACGCAGGCAGTCCGTGGAAACTGGCAGGCACTCTGAGGAGGACACGGCGGGACACCCCGGTCTGTCTGAGGCAGTTCAGTACTCCTCTCCTTCTTCTGTTCAGGGTACCTCCTCTCTCCTTCAGTGGTGAATCAGATTGACTGATGCCCTCCCCCAACCCCAGAAATAAGCACAAAAGAACAGGTATGACCTGTGATGAGCAATGTCCTAAACCTGCCTTATCTTGACGTGGTAACAGGCTAAGATGGTTTTAAAATTAGTTACTGACAACCAGTTTCTGGAGGTTCTTGCAGGATATCCCAAAATCTCCTAATGTGTCCTACATTCATCACCTTTTAGTCAGAAAGTCAGTACATGCTCATTCCCAAGACGTCCCCATTGCTCTCTCCACCGACAGCAGTCCCTGAGCACAGAGGCTCAGCCATGCACTAGAGCACCTTCCTCTGACACGGGAAAGCGAAGCGCCTGCGCTGTCCAGTCAAAGGGTCGACGGCCGTTGATGGGAGCTAACTCTCCTAAGAGAATCAGCATTCCCACCTCCTATCTACAGGCTGAGGGTGAAGCAAAAATGAAAACTAAGAAGAACCCAGGGAAATCACCTGTGTTTGAAATGACAGGGATCCTAAAATGAAATACTGGAGACCTCCCCCTAAAAACAGGCAACAGAAAATTCTAGCTCTAGATGCCACAGTTCCCTATGCTGAATTTAGTTGAAAGACACAACATAGGCAGAAATTTAAAAAAAACGGAATGTTTTATTGCTGTTATCCAGTGCTATTTAAGACATCTGAGATCAGTTCGGCCGACGGAGTGAACTAGGTCAGGAGCAGGTGTAACTGAACTCTCTCAAAATGCCTCTTTCTTAGCATTTTGGTGGTTGGAGCATCTGTGAATGAAAGCCTTTACATGTATCGGGAAAAAAAATCAGCCTCTGAAATTATGTAATCCTCACATAGGCCTAAAAGGCTCACAGTTTGTTAGGAGAGCTGGGGCCAGTCACGACTTTTTTTAATTAATTTATTTTTTTTTTTTTGAGAGGTTTTGTGCTGTAGGGCGTGTGTGCTCGACAGAAAGCCAGAGACAGACAGACAGAAAGTGAGAAATCACCCCCCCCAGGGGGGATGGCCACACCACAATCCCTTCTCCCCCATTCTCCTCTCAGGATCTTGGGCACACACTCACATGCACCTGGTGTGAGTTTAAGCCACTAGGTCTGGGATTTGAACGGCAGTGGACTACGTGGGAGTCCAGCAACATAGCCATTACGCTAACTGCCAGTTTTCCAGTCACGACTTTTAAAACAAGAGTTAAAACATGCCACAGACTCATTCTACTCTAAATGCATTTCTATATAGACAATGGTCTCAGAGGCACCAGAGCATTATTCTCAAACGGAAGCCAGGATGAGCGTGCTTTTGCTAACAATACAGACTGCTGAGACAGCCGTGCATTAGACAGAGACTCCTGCACATCCTGAGAACAGGACCACCACTTTTCTTAGTGCTCCTCCTACACCGGGACCTTAACAGGCTGGAAAGCTGCGGTAAAAAGTGCAGTAACTATTGTACTGTAGCTCAAAAAGTCTAGGTGTATTCCACCAGCTCAGAAGCGCCAAAACAAAGTCGAAAAATGGTCCAGGTACACTACCACCACAGATCGGCTTAGGAATGTCAGATCACAGAATTCATAAATCCTGAAAAGGGTTTAAGGGGAGAAGTGCAGTGCTCATACTGTGGTCAAACTAAAGTTGGCTGTAGGAAACCAAAAGGGATTTCCGTTTATATTCAAAGCAATAGGTCTCGTACCTTACTCAAGGAGAGGCAAAAGCCAGTGAGCTAGCAAGTTTTTCAAGGACCACAGTTAAGAAAGGATGGACATGGGACCAGCAGACGGAGTGATAGCTATGCTGCTGGACTCCCGCATAGTCCACCACTGTTTGAGACCTGAACCTCGTGGCTTAAACTCACACCGAGCGCATGTGCATGCGTGCCCAAGATCTCGAGAGGAGAATGAAGGAGAAGGGATTGTGGCGTGGCCATCCCCCCTGGGGGGTGATTTCTCGCTTTCTGTCTCTCTGTCTCTCTCTGTCTTTCTGGTGAGCGCACACGCCTTATAGCAAAAACCTCTCCACAAAAAAGAAAGGAAGGAAGGAAGTACTAACACACACATACACACATGTACGTGTGGCTCTGTGTGTGCTTGTATGAGTTGAACTAACCTGTTTGGGACAACAGAGTGCAGGGTACTAACTGACTTTCTTTTCCTCTGAGATGATGGATGCGGCCAGATGTTTGCCAACTCATGGCTTATCCTCTCAACAAAGCTCTATTCTTTTAAAAATCAGAAACCAGAAGAGACAGATATTATTGGGTCATCGAAGAAGCTATGACTTTTTTTTTTTTTATGATTTTCTATACAAAGATGTGTCATGACTTTTCCAACGACCCAATGGAAGGTACGAGTGAAGGAGTGAATTGTGAAAAAGACCAAGCAAACAACAATCTGGAGAGTAAGAGATGAAAGAATTGGACACAAAACATGGAGAAGAAAAAGAAAATATGCCCAATTCTGTGACTTAACGGCATCTGATACAGAGGTAAATGATCTCAGCTTAAGCGCCTCTCAACTGGCTCGCATCCTAAGTGCCAATCACAGATGACCCATAGCCAGAGCTGTGGAGGCCAGACGCTGTCTAGTATTTAACTCTGAAAGTCTAGGTATATTCCTGTACCTTGGAAGAGAGCCACAACAACGGTAAAAGTTCAGAGTTCAGCAGTCCTATGGCTGTAGGCTCTCAAAGTGAGAAAAGTCACCAATGTTAATGACAATGACAATGTTCCCATAACACAGGGGGAAAATTATCAACCTACTGACCTAGGCATGTATTTGCTTGTTTTACGCCAGGAAAATCCATTTACAGCTCGAGGATGGGCCAGGTACACAAAGGAAAAGTCCATTTCTCCTTGGGATTGTTTTTCTGGACTTGTATCTGGAGAAGTAACGGCTGTCCGCCAGTTTTCCACGTTATACCAAACCTTTAAAAGACAGTCATCCTAAGGAAAAACAAAAACACAACACCAAATCCAGATCAGAATTAAAGATTAAAAATACCTTCTCTCC